AACGCTTCATATAACTCGGATATTAATACTTGTTCTCGAAAACATCCGTACGGAAACGGATATGAAAAAGGTCGACCAGATATAGTGGCTTAAAGTTTTATGTTATCACAGGTATATAATATACAGGTGGAGTCAAACATTAACTTACTGTTAAGACAGTGTTTTATAAGCAAAACTAATATTTTTTTTCCCAAAAAGATATGGTAGAAAAATTTCAAAAAAGTTGGAACCTCTCGTACTATGTGTTAGTAAACACATACAGTTGCCAAGTTACTATGTGAATCCTAAGTACTCAATTAATATTGTCTGAACACTTGCTTTATGCGCGACTTTTTTTGCATGAATTAAAGTCAGTCCGAGATTAAAAGTAGGCAATTTCAAATATTGTGGCCCCGATTTAGAATAGGCCATCCCTTTCTTTCGTAAGAGGCGACTAAGGCAGGGCGAGGGATGGGCAGCAGCGTCCCTCTTAAAACGTCTCCAAGTTTAACTGCGTTTGCCAATCCACCTGCCAAGCGTGGCAAATACTGGCAAAACCCCCCAAGCCTCCCCCTTGGGGGCTTATGTTAAACAGTAGACAGTTGAAGGCTGATATGTTGATGTTGATGATATTCCCGTATAGTACGTGTGTATATACATAGTAATCGGTCCAATCGTTAATGTTCTAAGAGTTAACAAACAAAATAACTTTTTTTTTATTTACTCGACTTTATTGATCGAAAGAAAATATGATACAAAACTTTTACACTTACAATATTATTAAATAAGAATAATTTAACATGGGGAGTTTCAGAACTAAAGCGTAAAGGCATTATTTGAGGTTGCATGCAACAGTTTAGATCTCAGCCTCACTTAAAATGAGATGATAGTCAAACATGCTTAAATTTAAAATAAAATAAAAAAATAGTACATTAATTATTATATTTCATGCTACTCACGACCGATATCTAAAAGGTTACGTAAAATAACATATATCAGTAAAAAATCTCGGGCATTAAGTGTTTCAGATGAATTCAGAGATAGATTTATCTTGTTTTTTATGAAATTGTCTGCATCCATAACAGTAATATATAAGATAAGACATACAATATCAGTATCATCCATTTCTTATGATATTTATTTATTTATTTATTTTGAACTAGGCACACCAACAGTATACATATTATACATAAATTAAATAACATTTTTTTTGTGTAGCACGCTGATATGCATACCTATAGCAGGCGTACACAACATTGACTACATATTACATGCATATAAATGTCATAATATAATTAATATAATAAATTAAATATATAATTACATATTCTTTATTACAAAATTCAATTAAATATAAAACAAGACTGGGCAATATCGTTAAATCTACATGGTCTTCGATATTTTAGCGCGAAACATTGCCAACGAGTCATGGCTTACGTCTATATCCGGATCTCATCCGGATATTACACTCGTGTGACTATCTTGTCAAGATTATAATATGTTATCGTTGTTAAAATAAATTGCAACGTCTAGGGCAAATACTTTGGGATATCACTTAAGGTTTCTTTAGAGTCGGCAACGTGCACGTGACACCCCTAGTATTTATTGCAGGCGTCCGTAAACTACAGTGATCGTTTGCCATCAGAGTCGGCGTGTGACACCCCTTTTTTTGCAGGCGTCCGTAAACTACAGTGATCGTTTGCCATCAGACGGCTTGTTTTTTTTTTTTACAACACAGGGGGCATTCGAGCATGTGGCTCACCTGATGGTAAGTAACTACAGCCGCCTATGGTCACCCACAACACCAACGGCATTGCAGATGTGCTGCCGGCCTTCTTGACAACTTTGTGTTTGTTTTTTGGAGATCGTGTGGCGTGCGATTAGATAAGATCAATTACTACCTAACTTAATATATTCTGTGATTAATACTTTAAGCATTAATCATTAATGTGTAAAATGCTGTAAGTATAATCAGACAATATAGGCATGTTTTCGCAGACAGCGAGATTTGTAAATAAATCTACAATATTTATGCAGATATTTCCAAAATAAACATTATTGTTTTGAAAATATGTCCGTTTGTCATGTGCGAAATTGCAAATCGATGCATACTTATTTTTGTATGATTAAAACAAAACCTCGCATACGATTTCGTTCTAACCGTATAATGAAACAAGTGATTATTGATATGAGCTGTAGAAGCCATAGACAATGTATTTTTAAAAACGAATTTTAATATTTTAAATATGTAATCGATTTGGCTGGATTTATAATACTCGTGTTGATCCTCAGAAGAAAACTGTGACGGTCACTTTTATTTTTTTTTCAAGATAAAACTAAACAACAAGATTAGACCTCTTGTTATTTCTCACGCATGTATGCAGTAACGAAATGCAAATCATTTGCCACATATATAGGGGACTGTATTTCATGGCTGTATATTTTTATATAAGCAATTAATCTAAATCGATAGCGAAAAAATTAAAAAAGTCTATCGACATGTTAATTAGTATATAAAATACAATCTCTACTTCGTCTGGATCTAAATGGTGCTGTATGATATAACTGATTATTTTTTATTTTAAACAATTCGCGCGTGAACGGATAAGCCACGATGATATACTTTATCTAAGCTGCGATATGTATCTATTCTATGTCTTTGTATACATTGTTACCTTGTAAAATAAATTCATATGTATATTAAGAGGTCATCGACATTATCTGTGTAATAAAATCCTTTGTGATAAAATTTAATTGTTTATTATAGGGTTTATAGATAGGTATTTTACTAATCAGCAATAATAACACCTATTTAAGTACATACATAGATATTAAAATATCTAAGATATGTAGGTAAATTTTATGTGAGTTGTCATAGCAATTTAATATAAAGATAGGTAGTTTTCCATCTAAGTTTTATAGATCTATCTATCTAATTTTTGTTCGATTATCAAAAGGAAGTTTTTACAAAACATTTTGCTATCAATAAACAAGATTTAAAAATAATCATCAAGGATCCGTGTTGTTTACTCCTAGAACGACTCTCTTAGACCTTGGCGCCCCTTTTATTTTTAAATGAAAGATAATGGAGTGGTTACCCTGCCTACACTATCGATACATGCAGATGGAGCACCAGTGAAGGTAGATGAGAATGGAAGCAGGTTATTTAGCCCATCGTAACCAATTCAACAATACGAGTAATTAACCATGATGGTTACCAAGAGGAACCGCATAAAAGTTGACCTGATAGATTATATTGCTAGCAATGAGGTTGCTAGTCCCATTACTAACAATCCCTTTTCCCCTCAGACGCCCCTCTTGGACCTCGGCGTCCCCTTTGGTTCTACATGTCCCTGGGTGTTGCCCCCATTACGTCCGTCCAATACTCAATACTGACCGCAGGGGGAAGGGATTGTTAGTAATGAAAAAGTTAGTAATTTCCATTGCTAGCAATACAGATCTGTCAGATCGAGCTCCACGCGTGGGCTAAAAAAAGTATAGACCGCAAGCTGCAAATATCGTCTTACTTTCGTGAGGAAAAAAGCGTAGATACAGCGTTGAAATTTAAAGGTACATTTTTACCTTTTAGAATAAAAACGTAAAATTGAAGTAAATATTAAAGTAGGTAACTAACTACATCAATTTGCATAAAGGAAGAATAATTTTCTGCTCAGCTTGTTTGTCACGTGGAATTAATATCATAGATCATACAGATTGCGTGTAATTTATATAACACGATCAAGAGAAGTATATATTTATGAACGTAGTTTTAAATATATGTTAGGTGCAATACGCAGCGATCGGTTAATAGAATTGAGAGTCAAGAGCGCGAAACATTATCCATTGTGCCAATGTCAAGTACGTACAATGTCCACGTGTCTGCGTTGCTCATTATATTAGATTTTATAATTAACAAATAGGAGGAATGGAATGATTGGTGATGTCCACTTCAATCAATCAGTAGCATTTTTAACAAATTATATATTTAAGGTCTTCTTCTGCCTCGCCTTTTCCCCTTAATTGGGGGTCAACTTTCCTAATCATATGGCGATTTTCGTTCCTGTCACATGTATCCTTCAGAAAATTATTTCAAGTGGCAATGCACACTTGACCTTAGCGCCGATTTGCGTTACTTTATTTTGTTGTTGCTTCTGAGGGATAATAATTGACATTCCATCATTTCTCACACACCATAATATTTCTCATCTATATTAGACAAAACAGCATTCTATATAAAATACAAAATTTAATTTATAACTGAATACAGTTTAATAATATAGGTGACAACCTATGTTTATGCAAATAAATTACTGATTAATAGAGTAAAATATAGCTTTCTCATACATAAATACGTGAATTATAAAGTCTTACATAATTAATGTTCGGATATGTGTCGGCCATATACGTAACTGTAAATTATGTAGATATATACACACATCCTACCTAGTCGGTAGTCCTACTCGTATTATAAATGTGGAATTTTATAAAGATGTTTGGATGTTTTTATATCTCTTACTTAATTACGCTTAAATACCTGAACGGGCATGAATGAAATTTGTTACACGAGTAAGTTATTTTTACCACCAAAATTTTTATATGCATGTGAGCCAATCAAGAAGCAATTAGTTATAAATAAAATATCCAACCTATTTTTGAAAACCTATCAAACGCCTTGTTGTCTATAATAGGCAATTCGAAGAGCTGAATCTTATTATTTTATCAAATAATAATCAGGCGCCAAAATTAAAATAACAGTAAAAAGAAAATATTTTCTTTTATGATAACCAACATTCATAATATATTGTACAGTTATCAAAACTGATAAGTTATCGCTTTGTTTTAGTCTTTTATCTATTTTATTTGCACTTACAGATAAAAAATAGAACGAACTATACAAGGTCGTAGAAAGAGTATTATTTTTAATCTCGTTTTGACAATTTTTGAAAATGACATAATGACATTGACATTTGGATTTTGTCTTTCTCACGTCATTATTTTGTTTTATTTGTGACGTGTTGTTATTGTTATTATCATATTTTGTTTAGTTTTAAATTAAATAAAATTATGTAGTTTTTATTTTCGATTATAAGGCTATATTTATTTAAAAGCATATATTGCTATATTATTGGTTGACAGCTATTTGTGTTTTACATTAGTGTTGTTTATTTTTACAACTGCAATTGTGAATTGTTGAGTTTTTTGTCGTGTTTCAAATCTACAATGAGGAGCTCAATATTTAGGCGAAATCGCTCTGGGAGTAATCCAGAGCGCGAGCCCTTACTTTCTACACCCGGACCTAGTAGAGAAATCCAAAATGAGGTATTTATAACTTCTAGTAGGTAAATAATAAAAACAAAATGATCTCTAAAAGAAATTGTTACAATATGTTTAGAAGGGTTTCATTAAGTAAGAAGAAAATAATGCCGAAATAAACTATATTTTTCCTAATATATATTATGATGAAAGGAAAAATATTTTGAACTATCTTTTTACCTGCTACTTCTCGTATGCTTGACTTTCAAAAGTAGGAAAACCAATTAAGTAGATCTAGATGGTATGTCATGGTACATACACAAGTTTTTAAGTTAAATTTTTATAAATACTATTGTGTAACCATATTCAATTTGATACAGTAGTTTTTGCATGACAAATGAATGAATTTTAGTTATGATATATAAAGATCATAAGACAGAAAAAAAAAAATTGTTTTGGTTTTTATTACTACTACTGGAACCCTACTCATAAATTTTTCTTAAATATCTCTTATTCATTAACATTGTCCAGTTACAATGTTATTACATAAGTGAGGTATATAAATTAAATAAAACCTCAACAAAAGGACACTGTGTTAAAGCTAGGAATGGGTATTCAATTACTAAGCGAATATTGTAATTAAAATAACAATCATTATAACATCTGATGACTGTTTTATGAATCAGAATTGAATATGTTACTCACTAACCAAGTATTGCTTTGAATTACATTATTATTTAAATAATATATTGAATCCTTTTTCAACCAACTTAAAAAAGAAAGAGGTTCTCTGTTTCTTTGTATTTATATTTTATGTTTATTATCTCATACCTCTGCGAGGATGACTCTCCCCTAGATGGAGTGACAACATCAAATACATTGCAGGGAGTCAATGGATGCGGGTCGCACAAGACAATTCCTTATAGCAGTCTAAGCAGGCGGCCTATGTCCAACAATGGACAGATAATGGTTGAAATAATGATGATGATTATCTGAAAGGATATATTTACAGATTGGTCCCATAGAAATTTTATCCAAACCAGTTCAGTAGATTCATTTTAACATCAAAATAACTGGTTTTGCCACAACTGAAGTAAGTTTTTTTTTATTATTTTAAAGAATGAAAAAGATAATTCCATATATTTTATAGGTGTATTAGATTGTGTGGGTGGGTGTTCTCAGTTATATTTTTAGATTTATATCCATTTTTCTCTGATCCATAAGGCAATATTTTACTATACATAAATATAGTGGAAGTATCTAGTTCTGTCTAAATAATGTAAATTAATCTATTATATTTATTTCCAGCCTGCGGACGGAAACGGCACTATGGCAGAGGTCGGTGTCTCCCAGACGGAGCTAGTGGGGTCGAGAGGTGATTCTGGACGGAAATTGCCACAATACATTGCAGCTCTTTCAGGTAGGTCTTTTTGCAGCTCTTTCAGGTAGGTCTTTTTGCAGTTAGTTTGTCCAGGGTTTATTTTTTATTTAGTTTATTTTTTAAACATATGATTTATCTATCTTTGTTTTAAAATTTTCAAGATATTTGCAGTAATAATTACATGCAAGTTATACATATTGATTCAATAATTATATATCTAACTAAGAAATAATTATTTATGTGAAAACAAGTCAACATTATGTAGTAATTAAGTCTTGAATACATGTACACACTATACAAAGGATAATTACGATCATAAATGTGGAAGTACTTACAATTCTTATTACATTCGTCATCTACATACTGGCATCATGATACCTTATTTTATAACACTATTGTACTGTTGTATTAAAATACTGTGTCTTATACATATCTGCCAAATTACATTCTACTTTAATGTTCATTCATCCAAAAGGAGAATCTGATATTTCAGAAGAATTCATATTTACAATTTATCCACTTGACAGTTTTCTATGAAAACTCACTCATCTGTTAAATATGTTTATTTAAACAATAATAATTTGTCATTATTTCGATTCCAGCTACGCTTGGAGCACTCGCGGCCGGTTCTATGCTCGGATGGTCTTCGCCAGTCGTCTACAAAATTGTTCAGCCTAACAGCACCGATTACAACTTCCCAGTCACCGAAGCACAAGGCGATTGGGTCTCATCGCTCATCAACCTCGGAGCTGCTGCAGTTTGTTTCCCCATCGGTCTAATTATGGACGCTATAGGCCGAAAGAAAACTATGTTGTTTCTCGTGGTGCCTTTCACGTTAGGCTGGCTCCTGATTACCTTCGCAACGAACGTCGGCATGCTAATGGTCGGCAGGTTTATAACGGGCGTCGCCGGAGGAGCCTTCTGCGTCACAGCACCAGCCTACACCAGCGAGATAGCCCAAGACTCGATACGAGGCACCTTAGGCAGCTATTTCCAACTGATGATTACGATTGGTATTCTATTCGCTTACGCTGTCGGAAGTTACACTTCGGTGCTCGCGTTCAACATTCTATGTACAATAATACCTATTATATTTGGTATTATATTCTTCTTTATGCCGGAAAGTCCGAACTACTTGGTTGTAAAGGGACAAAACGACGCAGCCAGGGAAGCACTGATCAAGTTACGAGGAAGTGGATACGATGTCGACACTGAATTGAATGGGTTGAAACTGAAAGCCGAAGAATCGCGAAACAACCAGGTCTCCTTCAGGTCCGCTATCACAAAGAAGTCTGCTCTAAAAGCAATCTTTATTTGCTATGCTCTAATGTTGTTCCAACAACTGTCGGGTATTAATGCAGTCATCTTTAATTCTTCGGCGATCTTCGCGTCGGCCGGCGCATCTATATCAAGCGCAATATCTTCAATAATCATAGGTGTCATACAAGTAGTGGCCACGTTCATTTCTAGCTTGGTCGTCGATAAACTGGGCAGGCGGATTCTGCTTCTGTTGTCTGCCTTAGTTATGTGCTTATGCTCGACTGCTTTGGGCGTCTTCTTCTTCCTACAAGACCAACACGGTGCGGATTCTTCGATCGTTCAATCGATGTCGTGGTTGCCGCTTCTGTCTCTGTCGCTGTTCATCATCGCGTTTTCACTCGGCTTCGGGCCCATACCCTGGATGATGGCGGGAGATCTGTGCATGATAGATATAAAGGCGTTCGTCGGCTCCACTGCTGGTACTCTGAACTGGCTCCTCAGTTTCACGGTAACGAGCACATTTAACTCATTGAACTTCGCTATCGGTTCAGGTCAAGTGTTCTGGCTCTTCGCGGGCATTATGGTGATTGGATTTATTTTCATATTCTTCATAGTCCCAGAGACAAAGGGAAAGAGCATAGCCGAGATCCAATTAATGCTAGGAGAAGAGCCCCAACAAAGAAATGTCGAGATCAATAAGAAATAAACAATGACAACAGACTGACGAATTTACATAGTATTTTTGTACTAAGACTTACCTGTGTCGATTAGATTCTTTGGTGTCATAAACGTATGCACGTCGTAAGCAATATATCGATTGATTTGTACAAATACCAAAGAATTTTCGATATACGTTATTACTAAGAGAAACTTGTGACGTTGTAGGGTTAAATGTATTTATTTAATAATAATATAATCGTTGTTAATTTATTGGTGTCAGAGTGACCAGGAAGTGCAGGCAGCTCATTTTGGAATTAAGTTCTAAGTTTAAAAGTTAAAGCTTTATTTAAAATTCGAATTTTAATTGTCAATGGTATTATTGAAGTAAGAAATTCATATCATCAGACTATTTTATAATTATTAAAACTATATGACATTAGTGTCGGTCCAATTCTAAAATGTCATTATCCGAAATTAACCCATAAAATTTGTGAATACGATGATGACATTGTAGGATTGAACTAAATGTGTATATTGTTTTAGTGTGAAAGATTGCCGGTACCGAGAGGGAGCTTGACTGACCTATCATGTTCAGGTAGATTTTTTACTCTAAGAGTCAAGTTATCCCAGGAATGCATTATAAAAGTGAACGCAGTGAGAGATTTATTTTAAGAATAAAGTCCTTTAGCTCTTGACACTTTCTATCTACTCCGTAAAGGAGCTAGCGTGACGATAATTCTAGTGTTCTTCTCTAAAATGCCATAAATTTTTTATATACAATTGGGAATTGAAATTGTAATTTTTATATTTTTAACAGCTGATCATATGGCATATATGTGAAGATATATATATATATATATATATATATATATATATATATATATATATATATAGTAGTATATACACACACACACACATATATATATATATATATATATATATATATATATATATATATACATATATATATACACATATATATATATATATATATATATATATATATATATATATATATACATATATATATATAATATCCAGAAAAATTGTATTCCTCCACTTTTAAGACCAGAATGATTATAGAGGTTTATTTATTTGTATATTTAAAAGATTAACTGTCATAAAATGTTTTTGTGACAATAGATAATGCAACTGTAAAATAACTAATTCATATTTATTCTGTTATGTAACAGAAAAACTTTGAGTAATCACTAATCGATAAAAGTGAGGAATGAACTAATGTATGATTAGGTATAATAAATGTTTAATGAATTTATGTATTCTCGGGATAAGCTACAATCTAATGACTTTTATATGAGCATTAAAAATTAATTTTAAATTATTGTATATGATATTGTAAGTATTTGTTATAGTGGTTCAATATTTATAATTTTGCTTACTTTTTCTAAGGGTAAACGTTATGTCATCTAGTATTTGGCAACCGTAACACTTTTTCATATGTAAATATTGTTGTGTTATTGGTAGTAATTAAATTTTATTAGCAATTTAAACCTGCCGAAATTGATGTGTCAGATACCTACATATAAAATGTACTAGCATTGTACCTATATTTAAGTCGCATAGAGCAAAGTACAAGGCATGATCATCCTTTGGATGCGTGTCATATCACACATGACACCTTTCATTGGGCGACACAGTATACATTGCCATCTTCGTTGTACTATTGCCTAATGTTATAGTTACTGTTATATTTTCCATAGGGCCTGGTCCCTTATAAAAGGTCTACAAGTGCACTCTGACATGCCTTTGCAAAGCTCCGCTCGAATTCCGCTCACCCGTCCTCCGCTTTTTACCTTGGCATTGTCTTCAGATTTTCAGAAATAAAAAAAAAATGCACAATTTTACCGTATTTTTATGCTCTATGTGATAAATTTAAGTAACTTGCCAATTCAGTTGCCACTTGCCATAATGTTAGGCCAGTAACTTTTTTATTTTCCTTCGTGTTTTATATGTCTAATTACATAAGCACTTATATACATGGTGAAATTAAGATCGTTTGCATGCTTTTAAAGGAGTGTTCTAGCAGTTAGACAGAAGATTGTTCCCGAAAAAACTAAAAAAAAATTAGAAGACGCCATATCAACACGTTGCATACAGCTATAAAGGTATTATTGAAACTGTATTTTTTTTTGTTGTTTGTTCTCTATGGTTTTTTAATGTTTTCTTTTATGGTAGAACACTCCTTTAGAATTATGCTTACTTCTGATTTTATTCTATACAATTGTAAATATTTTTAATGTTCCTTAAGTAACTATGTTCCGATTTAACTATATAGTGATGACGGATGACAATCATAATGTGAGTTTAGTTAATGAGTTAATAAGAATAAGTCACCATAAATAGTAAATATAAGTGACCAATCAAATTTGGCATCCCCACATTTATATAAGTCGATTGCTTGGGCACCTCTGTCCCATTCGTGTTTTTACCGTAAAGCAATTGTGTTTGCATGGCCGTGTTTCGGTTTGAAGGATGGGATATGGCGTGAATTTACAAGGTACAGAGGAATAGCACCTGAGTCCTTAGGAATGGCTACGCATGGGGGGTATCATGGGCGTAACAGTATACTCTGTTATGTCCATGGTACTGCTCATGTCTATAGGCGACGGTTACCACTTTCCATCAGGTGGGCCGTCAGCTTGTTTGCCATTCTAAGTTGTATAAAAAAAAACTAAATTCAAAAAGGGAACAGAATAAAACAGGGTATCTTACTAATTGCCACTAAATGATGTCTGTGCATGGGTAAAATATTTAAGAAAAATTAATATGAGAGTTTATAAGACCAATAGAAGTCGAAATAATAATTTTTAGAAATTTTCTCTCTGTCTTTTTATTACGGCGTCACGCAGTAACTACTGCATCAAATTGCGATGTGATTTTCATTTGTATTTCTGAAATTCTTAACTTATAATTTGATACATGTTTCATTTTATTACGTCATCTAAAAGTGTTCTATTTTAGATATATAAATAGATATATAGATTCATTATCATAGATATATATATATATATATATATATATATATATATATATATATATATATATATATATATAGCGTAATTAATCCTTCTTTGCATATTGGTGGAAATTTTCACCATAACACTGAGTGATAAATTTTGTGAATGCATATATATATATATATATATATATATATATATATATATATATATGTATATATACATATATATATATATATATATGTATGTATATATACATACATATATATATATATATATATATATATATATATATATATATATATATATATATATATATATTAAGTTGATCGTGTCTGGATACCTTTTTAATATTCATTGCAGAAAAAAAAACATAGCTGTCTTAACCATTTTTCTTTTAATTTTGAACATGAATTATATCACCGTGATTTATTTCACCAATAAAAAATATCATGCAAAGAAGGGTTAAGATCCCGGGTTTTTTATAGAAAGAACATTTGGGGTCGTGTTAGAAAGAAATGAACTCTGAAAGTTAGTTCCCGGTTGGGTGTTCTGTATTTGTTGTATCAGCCATTAATTGTCTACTGCTAAACATAGCCTACCCCATAAGAGGGGTTTTGCTAGTAGTTGCCACGTTTGGCGAGCGGGTTGGCAACCGCAATTTGAGTTTTGGTGACGTTTTAAAAGGAACACTGCTGCCCATCCCTCCACCATAAGCTCCCTTAATCGCCTCTTACAACAGCCACGAGAAAGGAAGGGGTGGCCTATTCTATGCCGGTACCTGCTGATGTTCTATATTTCTCATATCACAAGATGTCTCAATGTGAACATCAGGAAAATGGTATCATTGTGTGCCAAAAATAAGAGATACCATATCGTGGCAACACAAGGCTAGTTCTAGATCTATGGAAGATATGGTAAAAACAAATGAATATCCAATAAAAACTTAACATTGTTCCCCCGCTAAAGTTTAATTCTATGCTCTCATTAACTTTAAAATTCTGTTCTTGAAAAACTGTAATATAATAAAGCACGTGTCACTATGTTCGTTTACGCTGATCTCCGAAATTGTTTAATCGAATTTAATGAGATTTGATAAATGTGTATTGCTTGCTACTACTTGAGTGATAGTCCTATGTTTCGTGTATTTATCCCAATAACAAAAATTGGACCCGAACGCTGGCGTTATGGGGCAAAAAGACATTTGTCGGATCAACTGGTATACCTATATGAGTGCGCGTTACAACCCTAGGTTTACTTTACTCATTGGCGTTATAGCATGATAAAAGTCAATCCACCTAGAAATATAGAAACTATATTATAGAAATAAAAAAAATATATTGCATACGGATTTAATGTTTTGTAAACGTATCAATTATGAATATTAAATAAATAATAATAATACCAGGGGAGTATTGTACATAAGTCGTTTGCTTGGGCACCTCTGTCCCATTCAGTCCCACGGCGTCAGCTTATTTACCATTCTAAGTTGCATAAAAAATAACAAGTAAAAAAAAAAAAATAAAAGAAAATCTGAATATACAACGCGCGGAACATAATTATAGATATTTCAGAATATTGTCAAATAAAGTTTTAATGTATAAACAGTAGATCGAAAATTATGTAGAAAGATGGTACTGACTGGACACGAATCATCCGTTTAAACTTACGCGATGAAATCTGTTAAATTTGTACATTTGTTACTATAGATTAATGTTATATTTAATAAATAAATGTAAAATTTTATATCATTTTGTTTTTTTTATTTTGTATCTCATATGAAAGATTCCCTAAGAAGAGTGCCAATGTGGTAATGAATGGAAACTAGATCTCCACGCGGTGCTCTCTGGAAACCATTTTGGTTAATTCCTGGCTTATTTATCAATCACTATAGATAGGAATTGAGACGCACCGCATTTTCGAATTGCAAGTTTTTTTTTTAATGGATGATAATGGAATGGTAACCCCACCCGCGCTATCGATATACACCGGCGGGGCACCAGTGAAGAATGATAGGTGAGGATGAAGTTGGTCAGTTAGCCCATCGTGACAAATTTAATAAGAATTGTTCACGATGGTTTTTCAGGGGGAACCACGTGGAGGGCGACCTAATAAGGTATATTGCTAGCAATGGGGCTGTCAAACTCCATTGCTAACAATCTTTTTCCCCCCGAATTGCAATAGCAGTGAATGGTTTCATATTGTTCTGATAGATACACCGAATTTTTGTTTCATGCGTACAATACAAAATTGTCATTGGCAATGGATTGGATTCATATTAATATTAGATTCGTAAGTGGACCTGCTGATCTGGCTTCATCTTCACCAATCACTGATATCCTTCACTAATACTCTGTTAACGCATACCAATAGCGTAGGCGGTATTACTTTCCATTCATCATCATCATTTCAGGCATTACCCGTCCACTGCTGGACATAAACCTCCCTCATAGATTGCCATAAGGAACGGTCTGGGCCACCTGCATTCACTGACTCCCTACAATGTATTTGAGATCAACACTCTATTTAGTCTGGGAACGTCCTACACTGCATTTTCCCGTACGGGGTCGTCACTCAAGAACATTTCTTTCACATTGGTTGTCGATTTTTCGAGCTACTACTTTCCATTACTATTTATAAAATATTTTCGCCATTGTTACTAGAAAAAATAATTATCTATCCATTATATCTAATGGGGAAAAGTTTAGAACCCAATTAAGGATAAAATATGATTATAATGTATCGACTGACACAACATTCATCAATATCGATGGGACATTTGAATTCGTCAGGACATGATCACGACGAGCCATCTGACCTGCTTTCGTCCTTACCTGTCACCGCCCTGGTGCCCCGCCAGCATATACCGATAGCACATGCGTGCTTAACCTATTTTCATCCGTCAAAAAGCAATGAGGCCGTTAGTTCTCGTAACTAATAACTGCCCCTCTTTCGTCCAAAAACTGCACCATGTCCATCACAAAATACACTAGGACACCCACGTAATCCATAGACTAGAAAACATAAATTTTCAATATAGTTTTGAATTAGGTAAATAATAATTAAAAAGTGAAGTGGGCGATCTATTATTGCATTGTGGTTACATTGAACTCAAATATTCCAATGCCAAATGTATCGTATTACTGCACGTGGTGCATTATGATACGTTGGCCTTATGTTTGATATCAAATATTGACACCAATATCATGTCACGTTAGGTACGTTAATCTACCGTATGTTGAGTGTATAAAAAATTACACAGTACAGAGGAATAACACCTGAGTCCTCAGGAATGGCAACGCATGGGGGGTATCATGGACGAAACAGTATACTCTGTTGTGTCCATGGTACTGCTCATGTCTATAGGCGACGGTTACCACTTTCCATTAGGTGGGCCGTCACTTTGTTTCCCATTCTAAGTCCCATAAAAAAATCAGTAACGGCAGCTGTAATTGTTAAAAAATTTAAATGGGACCATCAAGGCCTACCACAAACGGAAGGGGGAAAGGGATTGTCCGTAATGGGATTTAACTACCTCATTGTTAACAATACACCCTGTCAGGTCGACTTCCAGTTGTCCCACCTGGAAACCATAGTGCTGAATTACATATGTATTTATCACTACGGGCTAATTGACCTGCCTTTTCATCGTCACCTGGCATATCTCACTGATGCCCCGTCAGAATATATCACAGCGCAGGCGGGGTTACCATTTCGTCACCATCCTTTTAAAAAAACCACTCGTTTTTCTACCGTGAAGCAGTTGTCTTTCCATATCTGTGTTCCAGTTTCTTTTTTTGGTGCATGAAAACGGAATGGTAACCCCGCCTGCGTTTCTAGGTTTCTAGGGGAAACGCGTGGAGGTCGACCTGATAAGGCGTATTGCTAGCAATGGGGTTTATCAAATCTTCATTACTAACAATCTCTTTCCCCCCAAGATGAGTGGTTAAGGGCACCCAGACTGCTTGCTGTACAGTCTTCCTCTGGCAACAATTGTATGTAATGGTAATTTATTACGAAACAAAACAAATAACAATATAAAAATAAATTTATTGTATGTTGTACAGGATATTGCACCTTGCTTTCAAGACAAGTATTAACTTTACATCGCTCGTTTTATACATATAGGGTGGCATACGGTTAGCCTGATAGCACAGTATAAGGAGAAACTTAACTGACATGTAATCTTTAAGACATGCCAAAGGCGTTGAATCACTGGTGTTTACACTGAATTGCTAGTAATAAGGGCCACCATAGCCTAAAATTATAATACTATAGTAAAATATATAGCTTGTCTATGATACCAGGACACGTCCGTCCAACTTATTTCAATGTGTGCGCCCATATACAAACGTGGTGCTCTATTTGTGTTTGTGAGGAAACGTCTTCAGTGGCGGTCCGACCAGAGAGTATTGTATTTTTTAGTCGAAACCTTATAAATAATTGTACACACATATTTTAGTCTAGATTTTGGAGAGGCGTGCCATGTTATCGTAGACAATCTATACACAGTATTTTTTTTTTATAATTTGTGGAATAAATCACATAGAATATTACATTTTTTTAACTGTTTGAAATATTGTTTTATAAATACAATTAGATGTTAATTAAAATGTCTAACATGCTTATTTTTAAATAAGAAACTTGGTTATTGCGGAAATTCATTATTACGAGGAAGTAGGTACATCTAATGTAATCTAGAGTTGCCAATCGTAGATGCCTTCTAGTTTTATAATAAATACTACATATATTTCAATAAAGTACTGTACTGACGTAAAACTTTATAGAATACACACTAAAATACTATTTTTGCATCTAAAATCTATTTGTAAATAATATTTTTAATTACCTGAGCAAGGAAGATAAGTACAAATTATTTTAGCACTTTATCTGCTTTTAATTAGAATAAAGAAATTTCATATCCACCATTGTCATAAAAATTACATTTTTTTTTAAATAAGACTAAATATATTAAAAAAAAAATAGCAACTCTAGATATTAAAGAAATAGGCGAAACTATGAGATTGATAAAATCTGTACAGGTTTAAAATATGTAAACACAATAACTTATAATCAAATTAAATTGAAACTAGATTTACAAATGAATAAGTACCTATGTACAACAATTTACCTTATATACACATTACTTCAAATATCTAAATGAACAATCTTTGAAATTCCAACTCTATATTTACAATATATATATATATATATATATATATATATACAAGCTAATTTCTTTCACAACATTTACAGTTACAATGTTATATCACAAATGAATACACAAATCTATTTATTGTACAGAAATCTAATCTACATCTACACTAATATTGTAAAGAGGAAACATTTGTATTTTTGTGTGTATGTATGTTTGTAATGAGTAAACTCAAAAACTACATTGCCGATTTCAAAAATGTTTTCACCATTAGAAAGCTACATTCACCCTGAGTAACATAGGCTATATTTATTGCTAGAAAAGATTAGGGATCCTTATTAAAATTTTAGTAACGTAACTCAAGGTGTAAAAAAATACTATAAAATATCTTTAGTCGCGTGCGCTGCGGAAACTATTGCTGATAGAACAAAAGTATGTCTACAATATTGAAGAAAATATCAATAACTACAAAAAAACTTCGCGATACTATATGTCCAACTATTATCGTTATGTCACAATAGCCACTTTTTAAATTGTTGTAAAAATGTCCACCCCTGCGACACCCGGGACGGGCCGATAATTATAAAAAAAAAAAAACGATAGGTACATGGACTAAAAGAGCAATAAGGTGTTAAAGTAAGGCGATATATTGTGATAACATTGAACAGATTTTTCTTAATAATTATTACAGCAAATAATCTATTTCTTATAGTTGGAATATTTGTTAAACATCTCAGTATAGTATCTGATACAAACAGTGCATAAAAAAATAACAATAAATAAGAAATAAAACATTGTTTAGTATGACTAGTTTGTCTATTTCAAATACCTAATTTCAAATAATATTGTTTATTTATGCCAGATACAAAAAAGCCAGGTTAGATCAACATAGACAAATTTTAATATTACATATTTTTTTTATATATACATATACAAATAAATATGTAATACGCATATGCACTGAACTATTTATCAACAATGATAACAATAACCAACCCAAATAACATTATAAAGACAAACTTCATACAATTATGCAGAGGTAAACACTTTATAGATAAGAGCAATTAATTTTATCATTTGTGGACAACAGTAGCATCTATATTTCTATTAAAAAAAAACTAATAGGTAATGTAGAGCTCACACCAAATTCTGAGTAGATGTTCCACCTCCTATTTTAGAGTAGGCACTGCGGTAAAAATTGCAACAGAACAAAGAGTTCATAACCGCATTCAACGATGACGAACTCTGGGTTCTGTAGAGGCCAGAGGACACCTCCTCAACACTGGTTTCACCGATGAATTGCTGTAAATCACTTTTAGGGAATCCATCAATATAATACTGCTTAATTGTATCATAAGCATCCATAATAACTGATATAAACAAACTGAGGACAACATAAATGTACAAGCTTATAAATGAGTATAAATATACACGACTGAACCACCAGAGCATTGGTGATTTTTTTGACATTATAGAGAATGTTGCAAACATATCGTCGCCGTTTATGAGAGAGAACAAACATTCGGAGGTGGTGGCAAGAGATCTGAACTTCATATGATAAGGACCTAATATAAGCCAGCCACAAAACGTGAACCCAGCATATAACAATAGAGCACAAATCAAAAAACGGAATATTTTAGGAGCTGCTTTTTTCAATGTGAGTATGACAACATTGTACGTTTTGAAGAAACCCAAGTATCTCAAAACACCAAACCAGACTAGAAGGTTGCCAGTTCCTAAGAATAGGGAGCAAACATTCCATTGATCATTTGTGAATTGGTTCCTTTCAATCTGTTCCTTAATGGCCGATCCCATTATGATCAACATGTCGTTGATTATGATCATAATGTACCATACATTGAGGAACTCTAGCCGACCATCCAAACTTAGTTCTTTGTTGTAGGTGTGACTGAAGAACTGGACTGTTAGCTCTTTCAGTAACTGAGCTCTGTATATAGCTCTGCTGCATAGAATGAATGATGCAGCACATATCATTATCACGAGTATGTTGAGTATACTTCTCAGAACTTGATCAATTTTGTTATCTGTGACATAATCTGTGTCACCTTTACAGATCACCTTGTACGGATCAGCTTCCAGAACCAGCGACATTTGACCATCATGGTCCTCATTGTCAAACACTATCTGGACTTCGAACCTGTAGCAATCGGGAGGTGTTATCGGACCTGCTGCCCTAAAATTTATAGTGTTTATAGAAAATATAAGTTTTGCTCTAACTAAAGCTGCAAAATTAATATTGATACCTGAATTTGATAGGAATGACTGGGATGAAAATGTTTCATTACCATTACTGGTGAAATTGACACATGTCTCCACAATTTCAGAATTGAACACATAGCTCTCGTTGAAACCATTAATTATACCTTCTTTGTAGTTGTATTGACAGAAAACAGGGTCTACTTTCATATTTTTTTCATTGTTGTATGAATAAGCACCTATTGCATTACTCAAATTAGAATATCCAGCCATAGCATAGTCCAAGGTATTGTAGAATTCATCTTGTTTGTAAATAGCTAAAGGACCTGCGCCGGGAGGATAGGCATTAATCTCTCGCGTCGAGTCCCAACCGAGTAGAAATAGGTGAGAAAAACTGATCCGATTATCCCATGTGTAATTAACATGATTGTACCTGTTGTGGGCGAATAAACATAGTTGGAATGTAACTAACACTATTTTGATTACTTGTACGACAAATTTATAAGGGAATTTTCGTTTAGCCTTCCACTTCTCGATCGGGTTCATGAAGAAAAACTGTAGTTTCCTTCGCATTTTCTCTTCCATGTGACTCAGCGCAGCGATAGAAGCGTTCGATGAGGAAAAACCTTGATTGTCGCTTTCATGGTTGAGTCCTTCCGCCCTTTGTTCCGTTTCCACTGAACGTGTGTCTGGAGACGTTATGTTCTCCATAACTAGATTCTCCGAATTCAGTTCGATTGTACAAAATAACCTGGTGATACATAAATGAAATTACTGTCACTTTATTTGTTCGGCGTTGAGAACAAATTAAATATGTGTTATGTACGTAATCTTCGTAATAGTAAATAGATACCGTAAATATTTAACACCCCAGTAGTTTAATGGTGATCCACAAAAGCGCATTTATAAATCAAATGGCATCATGTACACTAAATCAATTAATAATCAAATAGGAACTATATATATGTGTCGGTTTGTATAACAAAACATTTTTAATAAATTCCAATGAAAAGGACTTTTTTTGTCATAACAACTATCAATGATAAGGTAAAATGAAAAAAGAAACAAATAATGACATAAACATAATTGACAATGACATCTGAAAATGATATAAATTAAATGTCAGTTTATTTAAGACCTCCGTCAGTGGTTAAAAAATAGATACTTAGTATTGTTGCACGTCCAAAGCATTTACTACATTATTTATAGCCAGCAAGCATTAACTTCATATTTTGTTTAATATGAAAAGTAACTATTCTAATTGATACAGGCCCATAGACAGTATAACGTATTAGAGGCTTGCTAAGTACGTTATACTACATTATTACTATTCAGGAAAAAACTCCAAAATTAGTTTCAAGGAGTAGCTTGCTCAAGTTTAACTATATTTTCAAACTTTTCTATTTTATTTCTCTCTAATTGTATGAACGTAATATCTGATTTAGTTTTACGTCTTGGTCGTAAGAGCTGGGACCTAACCTGCGCGGACCTTCTATCCTATAATTGCCGCTAGCCCCGTAAGCCAGGCCCGTGGGGGATACGCAGGCTGAGGCCCAACTGACAAATGCCACCTCGACTATATGGCCAATCCGACGCTACCTATTCATTTTAAAGAAGTACATACATACATACATATCCGTCACACCTGTCTCCAATTAGGGTAGGTAGAAACTATAGAACGTCAAATGCTTCGATTCAAACAAACCTCTTTAGCTTCTTCCACCTTCATCAATCTTTTTATACACGCTCGCCGGTTACGGGTATTTTTAATTTGGTCCTTCTTTAGCACGTCGCCTATTTGGTCGACATATTTCCATCTAGGGCGACCCCTACCAACATCTCCATTCATTCTTGTTCGATAAATCTCCTTCGTAATTCTTCTTTCATCCATCCTCTCCAAATGACCAAACCAATGCAACATTCCTTTTTCGATTTTTGTCACTACATTGTCTTTCAGTCCACACTTCTTTCTAATCACACTGTTTCTTACTCTATCTTTTAATGTAATACCACACATACTTCTCAAAGCTCTCATCTCTACAGCATTTATCTTACTTTCATGCTTCTTCTGCCATACCCACGATTCGCTTTCAATACATGAGTGTTGATGTCAGTACTCCTTGAATTATGGCAAGACGAGCTCTGCTCGATACATTTTTACTTGACATAATCGAGAGCAGTGCACCATTAACACTGTTTCCCGCTTTTACTCTCCTCTCAATATCTCTGTCACACTTCCCATCCTTCGTAAACAATGAACCTAAATATAGGAACTCACTCACTTGCTCCACTTTTATCTCCTATCATAATCTGGCATGCCGTTAAACTTTCATTCCTCTCAAAAACCATTACCTTCGTCTTCTTCGCATTTATTTTCATACCTTTTCTTGCATACGCTTCATTCATTATAGTCACCATTTGTTGCGTCCGACGATGCAAAAAGTACTTGGTCGTCGGCGTATAAAAGAGTCTTAAACAGAGACTCATTCATCCTGAATCCACAATTAGATCCTTTCAAATTAGTTAACCAACTGTCCACAAATAGGTTGAACAGCCAAGGAGACGCTACACAGCCCTGTCTAACACCACGTTCAATGCCAAACCAGTCTGTATAGATCCCATTTATTCTGACACAGGCATATGAATCCTTATATAAAGATTTGAATGCTCGTATCAAATAGCTGCTCACTCCATATATTGCCAGTGTTGACCACAGTTGATTTCTCTTCACTTTTTCATACAGAAGTGACTTAATATATCCTGTATAGTGAATGAAATGAACTGGCGCGACGTATTGCAGCTTATTCTTAGTAGTGCAATGGTACCTATGTCTACCATAGACAAAGTATCTAATTTTTGCACAAGTTACATGCACGCACGTCACATTCACATCGCACATTAAAAATGAAATTTTAGTCTATGCGTAATGTCATACGTATACATTATGAGAAAGATATAAATTCGAAATTTCCTATAAATGTTTACTAAAAACAAGTGACATTATTATATGTCTATTTCAACAGAAGCTATGGCTCTCACAGTGGACAAATTAATCAACAACGACAGGTAAATATTTGATATTGCTTGTTACGACCTGTTGTTTGTATGAGAAAGTTTTCATTCTATCAGTTTCTTATTCATGAATTATTTGTAATAAATTGTAAATTTTAGGTTCTGCGGTGACAATATTTTCCAGTTTTTGTTATTTTTACCATTTGGTATAATACTGCTGGTGATTAGGATATTGTTGGCACTTATCTTGTGGATAGCATCAATAATATTGCCAAATAAATCTGGAGTGAGGCAACTACTCTCTACACTCGCATGTTGGACATTTGGTAAGTGGTTTATTGACATTTTATTAGTTTGTATTTTTACATTAAGCAATACAAGTTTTTATATAACATGTGTGAATATGTAGTGGATATTTGTAATGTAAAAACTTGATAAATGTTTGTACATAAGCAGGCAGGTAAACAACCCAGGCATTTGGGAGTCCCCGTGATTGTGAGTAATTCTAATTGTGAATTTAATAGAATTTGTGTTGTATGGAAAAAAGAAATTACATTGTCGTCTCAATAAAAGAACAATCAAGTTGATTCTAATGCTGAACCTCTATCTTCAGATCTAAAATTTTAATCTGGAATTACAGTGTAATATTAATTTGATTATATAGTTATTAGTGGCCATTAAGAAGGGAATGATCTATATGTATGTATGTATCAGTGGCTCATAATTCAATAGTTTTGTTTAATTACTAAACAAAAAGAGAAAGGTGCTTTGGAATTGACCATAATTATCTTATTATTAATATGACTGAGTTATGACATAAATGCTTGAGCAATATTTTAACTTTGTGCATTTCTTGTTCATTGTTATATTGCATAATTCACTACTAAATTTATCTACTACATAGTAGGGGACTGTGATGAGGTGGTAAATGTTAAAAATATGGATTTTAGCAGAATATTGTATTATACAGTGACTGAAAAAGAAGACAATGTTAAAACATACAAAATTGAAATAAAAAATAAATAAAAATATTCTAAAAGTAAATCGGTATACAAAAGTATGTAATAAGATGTAGTGAGTTTTTATAGGCCGGTTGCCAACACTGTCTTTAAAATAAAAATTAAGGTCCAATATGAAATAGTATCATCATCATCATCATCATTATAACAACTGTTAACTGTCCACTGCTGAACTTAGGCCTCCAGCTATTGGAAGGTTTTGTTAGTAGTTGTAACACTTAACCGGTGGATTGGCAACTGCAGTTATACATTGATGAAGTTTTAAGAGTAACACTGCTGTCCATCCACTAATCATAATGTTACCTTAGTCACCTCTTGCGCTACCCATGGGAAAGGAAGGGAAACAATATAGTTAATATTATTTATACTGTGATATGAAGTTAAAATTTTCATTTTAGACTTAGGTTCGACCCTATTATTTATTTTGATTATTAATATTCTATTTATGTCCATGGTACTGCTCATGTCTATAGGCGATGGTTACCACTTTCCATCAGGTGGGCCGTCAGCTTGTTTGCCATTCTAAGTTGTATAAAAAAAAGAAAAAAACTAATAAACTTTTTTTAAAAAGTTATTGTCACTACAGTTGACCATTGTAAAAGTGAGTTAGTTTTCTTTTTTATAAAAAAAAAAAGAAATAAGTATAAAGAAAAATGATTATCATCTTGTAAAATAAAAATAGTAATTTATATGAATTACAAAAAGTGGTTTTATCACTGCAAAATCTTTTATACACAACCTTTGGTTTTCATTATTATTGGTATTGGTTAAAAACTATTTTGGTGGTGGTTTTCTATATGTTTTTCTATTGAAATGTTTTTTTAGGAGTGTATGTCAAGCAGAAGGGCATTAGGGACCCGCATTGTAGTGTGCTGGTCGCCAATTATGTCTCTTGTCTGGACTCGCTTGCCGCCTCGCATGTTCTGGGCACAATTAGTGTAAGTATAGTTACACAATAGCAAGTATATAGATTGGAAATCAAGGCAGTAACTACTGAAATATTTGAAAAAAAATGTAGATTAATTCAGTATGGATTAGATGTAAAATATACAATATAAACTTCATTCTGAAATTGACAGACTATTATGTATTTGACACATCATATTGTTAGTTGATTAGAATTATTTTGTTTGATTTTACTATCATTAGTATTCATAAGGGTTTCATGGGCGACACAGTATAATCTGTTATGTCCATTGTACTGCTCATGTCTATAGGCGACGGTTACCACTTTCCGTCAGGTGGGCCGTCACTTTGTTTGCCATTCTAAGTTGTATAAAAAAAAAACTAAATTCAAAAAGGGAACAGAATAAAACAAGGTATTATATTAATTGCCACTAAATGATGTCTGTGCATGGGTAAAATATTTAAGAAAAATTAATATGAGAGTTTATAAAACCAATAGAAGTTGAAATAATAATTTTTAGAAATTTTCTCTCTGTCTTTTTATTATTATATTATATATTATAAAAAAAAAAAAAATCATGAGACTGCCAACACTCAAAGATTGACTACTATTATTATTACCAGAAGTTCTACAATTTTCCATTGTCGCGACACATGTTTCACCTTTGAATTAGGTTTTTTAAGGCGAATTATTAGATTGCTGTTCAGAGCCTAGTGTTAACTGTTCGGCAGTTTGTCATAGATTTATGTACACACACACACACACATAATATATATATATATATATATATATATATATATATATATATATATATATATATATATATATATATATATATATATATATATATATATATATATATATATATATATATATACAATATAACTATACCCCACACTAGGCAAAGCCTGTCTAGATTTATATATATGTACATAGATTTATGTGTGTGTGTATATATATATATATATATAATTTAAGTAAATTACATGCTGAGTACTAAATTCATCATAATAGCAACAGTCAACAAATACCTCTAATAACTAAATTAGAAAGTCCTGAACAATATTTATTTATTTTAATTTAATCACAATTTAATATTTGTATTGCAGTTGAGAAAATGGAAAGTACCACCGTTTTTTGCATCTACATTGGGCATAAGGAATGCGGCACAGTTTGTCAGAAAGTAAGTAGTAAGATACTAGCTTATACTCGTGAGTTCATCCGCATGGCCGGAATATATTGATTGACAAATTAAATGGTAGTTTATGTCCTTCTCCATCACTAATAGTATGTGTATATCAAATTGCATGACCATTGGTTGAGCGGTTTTTTTTTTTTTGTAAATGGTATGGTAACCCCGCCTGCGCTAACGGGATACGCTGGCGAGGCACCAGTGAAGGGTGATAGATGAGAATGAAAACAAGCCAGTTAGCCCATCATGATGAATTCGTCAAGAATTAACCATTATAGTTTCCAGGGAGAACCGCGAGGAGGTCGCCCTGGTTGGGTATATTGCTAGCAATGGGATTCTCAGTCTCCATTACTAACAATCCCTTTCCACCCTATAAACAGAATTAGTTGAAGATGCAATTTATTTTGACTTAACAATGACTTCCAAGATATCTCTATCTATACTTATAATAAATCTGTGTAGAGAGGTCAATTCTGTACATGAAATATATTTCCAAAATAACTATCAGGGGGTGATTAGTGATCGATACTGATGCCAAAAATACAATCAGTAAAATTTTTGTGTCTGTCTCGTCTGTCATGCAAACAATAGCTTCACAGTTGAAATACGAATGGGACAGAGGTACTCAAGCAAATGAATTTTTCACAAAGTTTCCCTCTGTTAAAGTTTACAACTAAAAATGTGAATGGATAAAATAACTATCACAATCTTCGTATTGATAAAAGAAAATAAAAGGTAACAACGCTACAATCAATCACAGTATTCGTGTAACACACCAGTCCTTACTAGAAGCACCCGTTCCCGAGTATGATCTCTAGTGCTTTTTATGACACTTTTCCAATTTTGTTCCAGAAGACATTTTGCAGACTCACCCAGTAAGCCTATATTGCTGCAGCCAGAGGGTGGGCCCACTAATGGAAAGGGACTCCTCAAGTTCACAGACTGGCCATTCCAGATCGGGAATAGAGTACAGCCTGTTACCATCAGTGAGTATATGTTCTACTATCTATGCCCGTGACTTTGCCCGCGTGATTGAGATAAGAGATGTAGATTTTCAAAATTAATTTTTAATATTGCCAAATGAGGTAAAGTGCTTTGTTTTTACTGATAAATTAATTATCCAATAAGATTGTTTAGAATATTACAGAAATTTTTAATGTTGTTTTTTAGAACAATGTATTTGATAAATTTGTTTTGCGCCGAATTTGCTGTCCTTTCCGTTCAGCCGGCAGCCGGCGAGAGATACAATGTTGTATGCTATCGCCAAGAGATTACTTTAGTACTAATGAGATAAGGAATTCTTTGTCGCGCTATTTTGGTCGTTTTTTAGGTGTATGTGTGATTCTATTCAATATCTTCGTCTGATGTATAGTAAAACCACGTACGTATACCTACCGAACCTTCGAAGTGTACAGATTGTTCGTAAAAAGAAAATTGAATTTAGTTTTGGAAATAGTTATTGCCCATAACGTTGAATATGTCCGACGCTGGCCACACGGAAAGTTTGCTGCCGGTCCCCAGGGACTGACGCTGGTCATACGGAAAGTTCGCTGCCGGTCCCCAGAGACCGGCGCCGGGCCCAACGTGTTAACCTTTTTAGTGTAATTTGTTTTATTATTATATATATTATTAAAATTTCAGTTTCAGTAAAGAGCACTTTTTGAATAGTCGTTTAGAATGTCCATGGTCCATGCTTATGTCTATAGGCGACGGTTACCTTTCCATCAGGTGGGACGTTACCTTGTTTGCCATTCTAAGTTGCATAATAAAACAAAATCAAAGACTTTGGTATAAACACTTAATGTTATCGCAAACAATATTCTCTATATCAACATTATGTATAGGTAGAGGAAGACTTTGTACAAAAGTCAATTACTTGGGTACCTCTGTCCCATTCGTGTTTTAACCGTGAAGCAATTGTGTTTGCATGGCTGTGTTACGGTTTGAAGGGTGGGATATGGCGTGAATTTACTGGGTACAGAGTAATAACAACCTGAGTCCTCAGGAATAGTAACGCACGGGGGGTATCATGGGCGAGAGAGTATACTCTGTTATGACCATGGTACTGCTCATGTCTATAGGCGACGGTTACCACTTTCCATCAGGTGGACCGTCAGCTTGTTTGTCATTCTAAGTTATATAAAAAAAAAGTTGATCTGTTGAGCCCCTGAGAGTACTTGGTCGGTTAATTTGAGTGAGGTTGGATTAAATTGAGACTGGCCAGTTGGTTCTCGTAAGATTGAGCTATTGATGGTTTTTTTATGTTTTTCTCATGGATTTAGAAGACCAACATGAGCGTTGTGAGTGGTACATTCTCTTTCCGGTTCTGTCTAAGATATCTAACAGTGACCATTTGTTGCTAGCAATATACCCTAACAGGTTGAACCCTTGGGGGGAAAGGGATTGTTAGCAATGGAGTTTGACAGCTCCATTGCTAGCAATATCTGTGCCTCTAGTGAGAAAGGGTATAACTCAAGTTATATCCTTAATATTTTTTAGTATACTTTAAATAAGCAAATTTTTTCTCTTTCGAATGGTATAAGAATCGTAACGATATCTTTAAAAACAATAGAGATAGTAAACATGTAAAAGGCTACAATTAACAAAATATTTGTGGTAAAAAAGTCATAATTAGAAATAAAACAACAATATTCTACAAAAAATAGTGCCAAAAATGACAAGATACTTAGAACCAACCTTTAAATATGAATTTATTTTTGTGTAAAATGAATCAGTTCGATTTGAACCCTTTACACCATTTAATAGCAATTATTTTTTTATAGCGTAAAATACACAACATTGTTTTTCTTCAATACTTCAATAAAATAGTTTTAATTCAACTTAAAACTATTTACACATGATAATTTTAATATTTTTCTTAAGTGTGATTAGGTATAATAGAATTATTTTTAAAACTATAGGTTTTACACAAAAACCGACAATTTCATAAGAAAGAGGAGAAAAAATTACTATAAATGCAATCATTGACTTGTTCAATTAGCAAATAATAAAAGCAGCAGAATTTTTTTCTTTATTTAAAATAGTTTTTTGGCTCTCCTGAAAAGTGGCCATTTTGAATTGAACCTTTTCTCACTAGAGGCACAGATATGTCTTATTAGGTCGACCTCCACGTGGTTCCCCCTGAAAACCATCGTGAACAATTCTTGTTTTGAATTCGTCACGATGGGCTAACTGACCTACTTCATCCTCACCTATCATCCTTCACTGGTGCCCCGCCGGTGTATACCGATAGCGCAGGCGGGGTTACCATTCCATTATCATCCATTAAAAAAAAAACAGGTCGAACCCCATGCGGTTTCCCTTGGAAACCACCGTAATTAATTCTTGTTAAATTCGTCACGATGGACCAACTGGTGTGCTTCCATCCTCACCTATATTTTCTCACTGGTGCCTCACCAGCGTATACCAATAGCGTAGGCGGGGTTGCCATTTCATTTACACCCATTCCCCGTCCGTTGCAGCGGTGGAGCGAATGTACACGGCGGTGACGGTGGCGAATGGCGGAGGCGAGCGGTTCCCCTGGGCGGATGCGTTGTGGTTCCTATGTTCGCCCGTCACCGTGTACCACGTACGACTGCTGCCGCCGCTCGAACGGGGCGACGACGACCACGCCACCTACGGGCGGCGGCTGCGCGACTCCATCGCAGCCGATCTCGGGGTATGTCACCTATTCGATTTTTAAAAGGTTTCAAAAAAAGAAAGCTAAGTTTTGATTGAAATGTGGCAGACTTAATGCTGGCATTGTCTAGCGACAATTTTTGGAAAGTTTAAAAATGCTAGAAGGTGATACATACATTAACAGGAATGTATACGTAAATTATCAAATAAGGTTGAGAACTAGTTTTATTGGTTAAATTTACTTTGGTTGCTATTACTGCTTTTAATTTTATGCTACTTTGTCAAAATAAAAGTTGGTTTGATTTAAAAAATTAAATTATTATGATTAATAGCTGTATTCCGCGGCTTTGCCCACTTGAATTTAAGTGAAAAATATATAACGTATCCTGCGTGCCAAGTAAGGATGTAATAGATCCGCCAACCAAATTTCATTAATATCCGTTCAGTACTTTGTGTGTTATATGGGTGTGAAACATGGACAATGATGCAGAAGGAAAGAAAGATGCTTGACGCATTCGAAATGTGCACATAGAGGAGAATGGAAAGGATAAGCTGGACAGAAAAACTAACGAATGAGGAAGTCCTGAAAAGAGTGAACGAGAAGAGAACATTAATTAAAATAATAGAGAATAGAAGAGGCAAAATGCTGGGCCACCTTATACGATATGACGATTTTTTTAAGAGCATTGTAGAAGGAAAAATAGAGGGCAAAAGAGGTAGAGGAAGACCGAGGAATAACAATATGGGACAGATAAAAGAAACACTAGGTGTCATGTCGTATAGGGAGGTCAAGGATATGGCCTGGGGTAGAGCTGGCTGGAAGAAGATGCATGAATTATTTCCACCGACAAGAGGAAACTCTTAAATGAAAAGAAGAAGAGAGTTTGTGTGTGAAAAAGTAACAAACATCCATCCATCCTTGCAAAATTTCGCGTTTGTAAAATTAAGCACTGAATAAATGTTTCTTTCTTCCATTTATAATATTAATACTATTAGTTCTGAGTATTTTACGTGCATTAATATGATTTCTGAATAGATTTTCTCACTCGGAGTACATCACTGCCTTAGTAATTAATATATATAGATAGATGCATATTGGTGCAACTTGCCAATGCAAACTGTTATAAACCGATCCTAATTGTAGCTAATTCCTAACTGTTGTTACACGAGTGCAGTATTAAATTGTCATTAACAATAGATATGGATTGAGATCCATGTTGGATTCAAGAGTTATCTTACTGTTTGTTTGTTTGTTTATTCATTATTATTATAATTTAATTGCTTTCTATTTGTATACAATTTGTTATTTTCTTTTGTTTGTTTTGTTTTGATTTCTTTTGTTCTTGTTTTGTGCGCTACTGTGTGGACCGCATGCTTCTTCGATTAAATTATTTCTTTTTTTCTTTCTAATTTTTTATCTATCGAATACTAATTCCAACATTGTGTGCAGGTGGAAACGACCGAATTTAGCTGGGGCGAGTTGAATGAGGCTGCGCGTAAGAGTGACTTCTCGAGTCGGAGGAGCGCTCCTTTTTCGCGAGGAGGAGCGGCGGCGGCGGCGGCGGGAGCGGCGGGGGAGGCGGCGGCGGCGGCGCGGCGGCTCGCGCACCAGGTCAAGGAGGTGCTGCCCGCCGTGCCGCTCGCGGATATCCTGCGGGATTTGGGTATGTACAGCACATTTATAATTTACTAGTGAATAGACCCAGCTTTGTACGTTTTTTTTTACATAAAATAAGCCTATGTTACTCGTGCTATCGTGCCCACACCGAGTTGAGCACAGGCACTTTTGATCCCCTGTAACTTTATTGTGAATAAAACAAACAATTTGAATATTTAGCGATTAAGAGGACAAACCATAACTGATTATATTGCCAATATATCTAATAATTATATACTTTAAAGTTTGCCAATTAATAATATATATAATAAAGTTAGCTAATCAAAGTTTTTAATTTTGTCACTGACAAACTTGGCGATCGTTAAATTCTATGCTTGCTTCTGGCAATGCCACAAGTTTCTAATTTTAAATTTTAATTAGTGTTTAGACTATAAAAGAAGCAGAAAATTAATAATTCCCGATTTTAATTATTTATTTTCATTAAATGAAAAATACTGTTTATTAATTAAAAATAAAGTTCATTCATTAATCGCGTTTGTAGCTGTCGGGGTCCCACAATAGAATAGTCTCGTGCCCATCCTAGGATACGAGCAAAGCTTTCAGCAATTTGTAAACACTCGTCTGAGAGTACATTAGAAGAAATAAAGAAATTTTATTTTGAACAAACATGCGATAGCATCCACACAGGGATTAAAAATAACTAAAAATAATAATAATAAAAAATACGTAGGAGAAAAAAAAATGTCTATTACGTCAGTCTCAGCAAGAATGTATGCGTGCGTACATGCGTGCGTGTGTGCGTGCGTGCGCGTGCGTTGTAATATTTTTTTATGGATGATAATGGAATGGTAACCCCGCCTGCGCTATCAGTATACACCGGCGGGGCATCAGTGAGGGATGATTGGTGAGGATGAAAAGGCAGGTCAGTTTTTTTTAATTGGTGATAATGGTATGATAACCCCTTCTGCGCTATCGGTATACACTGGCGTGGCACCTGTGATAGATGACTGATAACGATGAAAGCAGGTCAGTTAGCCCATCCTGACGAATTCAACTAGAATTAGACACGATGGTTTCCAGGGGGAACCACGTGAAGGTCAACCTGACAGGGTATATTGCTAGTAATAGGGCCATTTGACCTTTTTACTAACAATCCCTTTCCCCCCAGGCAGGTCATTTAGCCCATCGTGACGAATTCAACGATAAATTAGTCACGATGGTTTCCAGGGGAACCGCGTGGAGGTCGACCTGATAAGGTGTATTGGTAGCGATGGAAACTAACCTTTACTATTAACAATCCCTTTCCCCCCGCGTCGCAATATTAGTCAAAACGAGGTTCGTGCTCAGCATATTGATGTAATGTCAGAGACGCTACAGTGCTGATTTTCAGCACGAGCCTCGGCAACCCTATAACCCTATTTTGGAAAACAAAAATGGCAGTGGTCACTCAAAATAAGTAATATTTACACTTGTTTTTTTTTTCTTATTTATTTATTTAGAACTTCCGCTACTGACAATATTAGTCCGTCTTCGGGTGTCGGCAGTCACACGTATACTAATGGTAGCGGAATTCAACAAAATAATTCTAACCAACTAACCATTTATACTTGCAGCAACAACCCGCAACGTGGATGTCACCATCACCAACTTCTTGGAGGGCGTCACACCGTACCAGCCCGAGGTAGTTCCCTCCCCCTCGACGTTGTCCGCACCTACCCCCTCCACATCATCCTGTCCCGGCCCCTCCACTTCATCCTCTCCAGGCCCCTCCACTTCATCCGCTGCATCCCCGCCCGCTCCGCGGTACGTGACGCCCACACCAACGGGTGTCTTCGCCAAGAATGCCAAAGATCGACAGCTCAGTTTCCAAGAGAGGAAAGCGCAGATGATCGCCGAAGCTCGTCAGAGATATATAGAGAAGCACGGCTTGAACTTCGCATGAGCCGCCTCGACTCTTATACTGTGGATGATAATTATTTTTATATGATTGTTTTACGAAGCAGTAAGTACGTGTATAGGTATTTTCACATCTAGAGCTATTTTTCTCAAACCCAATATAATACAGGGCAAAGGAACACAATTTGCAGTCTTAATTAAAAAAAAAATAAAAGAAAACTTACGATTTATTATTTATTATTTCTTCATTCAATTTTATCTAAAGATTTTTAAATTATATTTTTTTTTAATATTTTTGTGTTAAGAAGTTTTACTATTGAAAGAAAATATTTGGTTACTAAATTGTGAGAAATTAAAAGTGATATTGGCTGGTTTATTGTGTCCTTAGGTATTATTATTATTATGATTGTTAAAACATACTAAAATGTTTAATAATAAATAAAATCAAGTAAAATTGGCAGTTCCGTCTCGACCAAATGTGAATATACTTATTTCATTTACTCATGTATATTTTTATAGTACATCGAGATAGTGTCAAATTGAACATAGCGTAGTGACAAGAGTGGGTCACTTATTTGACTATGAAAATTAATCCATCCCTCGCAAGGAAGGTTAGCTTACATTGTATATAACACGATATATCAATATTTATTGGAAAATTAATGAATAAATGTAAAAAAAAAAAAAATACAAAAGTATAACACCAATTTCACATATATTGTATTGTACCTTCATAGGTACTTCAAAGGGTGTTACTATTGTAATCTTTTGGAGGAAACAATAAAGAGTATCTATCTATCTATTAAGGCTGGTTATAAAAGAAATATTTGGTAAATTTAGTTTTCCCTAAAAGAAGGAATGATGCATCGCGTAGATTTCTAATTACCCTCGCGGATTGAAATTCTAGCGCCAGCAGCACCTAGTTCTAGGGTGGGCAAGGCCGGGGAATAGGCCGTGCCCTCCACTAAATACATCAATGACTTTGTTACTCTGGGAATGCAGTTCCGTTTCATGATTACTGGGCTAGTTCATCCTTTTTGCGTTATATATTTTTATATATTACAATATACTTTTATCTTGTATTTACCTTTTTAAGAGTATATTTATTTTTGAGTGATTTGGCATTACATAAGAAAATAGATGTCCGGCGCTTAAGGACTAATTTATTATAACGAGATTAGAAATATCGTATGGTTAGACAATATTATGGTATATATTTTTTTTATAACATCGGCTTTTTACTCAAAGCTCGACTAGTTTCAGTTCTTCAGTGCTCTGTTGACGGTTTAAATTCGGTTAATGACGGTTAAATTATATATAAAAAATAATACGTCAATTTCGAGGCTTGTATAGGCGAGACGCTATGACGTATATATATATATATATATATATATATATATATATATATATATATATATATATATATATATATATATATATATATATATATATATATATATATATATATATATATAGACATCTTTGGGAAAATACTCTAGTGTAAAATGTTTGTAAATATTAACGTAAAAGCTACGCTGATGTAAACCTTAAAATTTTTGTATAAACAAACCGACTAGAAATGATAATTTTACATTCATATATTCATTATATAAGAACTATAAATGTGTTTATTTTTAATTAATTTAATTCTTTTTAATCGTTTAATTGTGTATCTTTTATAATTGTAAATTGTGTATCTCCCATAAACATTTGCTGTTTTTGTTAATATAAATTTACTTTAGTAATTGTAAGTCATGGAGAAGTTTCTTTTTTGTTTTTAATATTAAAAGTATACTAACAACTATAAAAGCAATCAAAGTATTGCTCCATTAGTTTTGTATAATAATGTTTTCGTAATATATCTAGTCTTCAAGAGGCATGCGCAAACGAAATATTACCCAAATATTGGAGTTAAAGAGATATATTAGTTTAATTAAACTTACTGTGTGCGGTTTTGTAAATTTCTTGATTGTAATACGAAAGAGGATTTTTAATTATAGTATTAACAATAATTTATGATTGCAGTTCTTCTAAATACTTACTAAATAGAACAAGATCTTTATAAGTGGGGAAAAAAAATCAAATGAATTTTTTTTTATTGTCAATTTATGTAGTTTGCGGTAACTTTGCGGTAGGGTGAACCCTTAATAACGAGCAGATCCTGAATTCTAATCTGCTTTTCCCATGAACATGCCTCAACTTCGTGCGTAGAAGTTTGTGTCAAAAATTTAAAATTATGTTTCATAGCAGACTTTAATTTGTGGGTGTAAATACCGATTTACTTGACAAGTTTGCAATAATCTATGTTTTTATCCAATAAGCACACATACTATAAAGTAAAATGGTACTGTACAGACAAATCGGGGAGTAACCTAAGTAGCACTGTAGTCTAAGGAACAATCAGAGGGCTAACACTTCTAGTATGTCTCAAACATATATGATAATTTGGTATACCTTGCTCTGTCTATACATGCCCGTTGGATGACTAGTTTGGAAAACTTCTTTAGACTATGGTAGCGCTTTGAAAAGAGATTGGAGTCGACTGTGAAGTGTCTATTCTCTATACTTGTCGTTTAAACTAATATAATAATTTTAAAATTAAATTTATTAGAAAATTGTTTCATATTGGTTTTTATAATCAAGATTTCGTTGGGATATCAAATTGGAATTTTAATATTAAAGATAGAGATATGACGCTTCAGAATAGACACCATTGTACGTATGTTGCATATAACATGCACATTATCTCAATTGTGGTCAACGAATAAAGCGTTTGATCTAGATTGAAAGTACCCTCAGAAATGGAACCAAGATATGAAGTTAGTGTAACAATTTAAATAACTTGAAATATTTAGATCTCATCGAAGAGTTTAGATAACATAAGTCAATATGTAATATCGATTGAGAACGAACTTAATATAAATTGTAAATATGTTACTAAGAACACAATAAAGTGGTTAGACAGACCAAAATACCACTATAGCTAACTGCATTAGTAGTGATGTTTATATTTCTTCTGTTAAGTCTGGTTATGTATTTGAATCGGTACTTTTTTATTTTTTTGTCCAATTGACTATACGAAATTATTTTGTTTAAAAAAAGAATGTACACTAAAATCTGACGATATAAAAACAATATATGACGCCAATTAGTTTACGTTCAGTCACTGACTCAAACATAAAAGTCTGACTTTAGTGTATTACAGTAAAAGAATACTTAATTTTTAGCACTAATGAGAGCTAATCGAAATTTTTAAAATCTTGAAATTTTGTTACTGTAGACCATAGGTTCTCGAAGAAATAATACCGCCCCCCCCCCCCACCCAATATTTTAGTAGGCGTATGTCATGTCGTTTCTATGCTTTATTAAATAGCTATTATAAATTTTGACACATATATATATATATATCGAAATTATATATTTCGGTTTTTTACTGGCGACCAAAAGAATTGAATATTAGAGTCAGTAAATATTTAAAAGATATAACGTCATTATGATAACTTTATCATGTGAGCGAGAGATCGAATCGCACACCATGATGTTATCTTGTCCCATTGCTAGCAATGCACCCTGGCAGGTCGACCTCCACGTAGTCCCCCTTGGAAACCATCGTGCTGAATTCCAAGTGTATTCATCACGATGGGCTGATTTGCCTTTCTTACCTATCATCCCTGACTGGTACCCCGCCAGCGTATACCGATAGCGCAGGCGAGGTTACCATTCCATTATCATCCATTAAAAATGACGTTATCCGGGTACTGTGTTGAGTGTATGTGAAAGATAACGAGTCGCGCCGTTTTGCATTGCGACACCGCAGTTCTTACAGGACGCAATAGACTCTCAGATAAATTACTAATATCCAATATTTTTGTTGTCTATTATCTTCCATAGCAGGACCATAGACAATTGGCGCGTAACGATTTTTTTCAGGGGGGCGGTGGTCCAGAGAAGTTGGGAACTAGTGTTTTAGATGTATGTACGTACGGCCGATGTTGTGAATGTATAGTGATATTGCCAAACGGCTTTCTGTACATAGCTGTTCAGTTAAGTTTGTCATTACTTGATGAGGATCATTAATAAAGTCTTGTTTGAAACTATTGTTTGATTTTATTTATTAAATTTTAATACACCTAGAAAGTGTAAATGGTGGATTTAACACCGTATGGCGTTATTTGCCAGTTGACTATAGATAGGATAAATAGAAAATAATTGACAGTTCAACGTTATAATATTAAAATAGTAATTAAAAACTAAATACTCATATTACCAACATTATACATACATACATATTTATTATAATAAAAAATAATATCGGACGAATACTCGGATATTTTTTTAAACACAGATTATGACTCGTATAAACAAGGGAAATTTTGTACGCTGATAAAATTGACATTATTAGACGCCTACACAGGGCTTAAAGGTAGTTTCAAACCAACACATTTGGCTTTTATTGATTTAATCAACTCGTAGATCGATTAAATAAAAGATCAGAAATCTGTAGTGGCAGAGCTTGGTTACATAGAATGAAAACTACTTTTATTCAAGTAGACTGTTACAAATATTTTTGAAGTTGTCATTTTTTATTATTATTTTTCTACCGCGCCTTTGAAATGCTATTTCAATTAAGAAGAACGAGCAAGAAACTGGACTTGCTGTTAATATAAATTATTTTAAGCTAGTCAAGTGAATTCCCCTTATTTGTCCATGGGTGTCGTAAGAGGCGACTAAGGGAACTTAATGGTCGAGGGATGGCCATGACCAGTCATACTGTGGTTGTCAACCAGCCTGCTAAGTGTAGCAAGTAAAGGCAAAAACCCCCAGGGGGGATGCTATGTTCGGCGGTGGACAGTTAGTGGCTGATATGATGATAAATAATGTGGCAATCCCATAATTCGTTTACAATTAATGGAAATAATCTCAAATAAAATACATGGAAGTGTTATAAAAATGTTTATTTTGCATTTGTTTCTTGATTTAACAAAACAATATAGTTAATTACATACAGATACAATTCTCCCGACAATGCTACAATTTGATTTGTTGTCAAATATTTAAGTACATTGAACATGTAGATGGGAATTTTAAAAACATGTTAATTAACAAAATTGAAGCGACATAAGGGTCAGTGGCTAACGAATGTAACCAGACACGTTTTTGCTACTGTCTGCAAAGATAAAATAAGACAGCAATGTCTGGTATACTGTTCTTTCTATTGATGGTGCTCAAAGGGTCTACCACGAAATGAAATTCCGAATTTTCGGACTCAATTTCGTGTTTTTGTTCATATTGAAATCGCCTCAGTAAATGGAGTATTTTGTTCATCTTAAATTTTACCATAAAAGTCCAAAGGAACGATATTTTAATAATTTAAACGGTAGGTATCGTGTACTTTTACATGAAATTTGTGTTTCGTTCGGCCCCGAAATTTCGGAAAACATTTTATGGTAGGCCCTCTGGTCTTGTCAATGTATACTTGCAACACTGGAGGTATCATTTACGTGTTACCAACTATTGTAACTAATATTTCGGAATTTGTAAATTTTTAAAAACAAGATTTTAATCTTTAAAATAAGAATACAAGCGAAATAATGTTCTGTTTAAATATGTTTGTTTACAAGCTTTTTAAATCAGATTTTTTTTTATATTCTACTGTGGGTTTCGGAATATTGTAATGTGTTAAAAGGAACTCAAAAAACAGTTATTATTTTTAATCATGTACATAATAAGTTTATATACCTATGGGTATATAAAATTATGATATTATTAACTATATGATGTATATATACTGTATATTATATAGTGTAGGTAGATCCCTACACCCTAGTACCCTACTAGATCACTAGATGGAGTGACGACCTCAAATGCATTACAGGGAGTCAGTGGATGCAGGTGGCTCAGCATTGTTCCTGCAGTCTATAGGTGAGGCCTATGTCCAGCAGTGGACAGATGATGACCTATACATGACGATGGGTACTGTACTGGCTTGAGCTTTTACCAGAGGGAGACTTTGTACAAAAGTCGATTGCTTGGGTACCTCTGTCCAATTCGTGTTTCAACCGTGAAGCCGTTGTGTTTGCATGGCTGTGTTTCGGTTTGAAGGGTGGGATATGGCGTGAAACAGTATACTCTGTTATGTCCATGGTACTGCTCATGTCTACAGGCGACGGTTACCACTTTCCATCAGGTGGGTCGTCAGCTTGTTTGCCATTCTAAGTTGTATAAAAAAATGGTATTTATCTTCAATATTAAAAAAAAACAAGGAATTATTTTTCCGGGGCTAAGCCCTTATAGAAGGCACATTATATACATTCAAACATGTCTTTGCACATAGTTAAAAACTGCTCTCATTGCAGCAAGGGGGGGGGGTGACCTACCTAACCCCCCTTAAATACGCCTTAAATTCTTGTTTCCATATTTGAATGAGGTTCAGTATAAGTGCTTCCACGTCACCAGTTGTCGGCAATTTCCATTCCATTCCATTCAAAGTCCCAGCCGATGCGGTGTCCGTTTGGGCGTGTTCAGGCCCGGCGTGGCCACGGTCTGCTTCAGAGGCACCTCCTCGTCGCGCTTGCGACGTTCTTCTGCCATCTTCTGTTCCGCTTGCTTCATCTCTTCTTCCATTCTCTGTAGGTGCACTGCGGCTTCTTTGCGTTTGTCGCGGTTCGATCTGGAATATGATACAATTGATTGGTGAATGCAAATAAATAGATCTATGGCCATAATTTTTTTTTAATATCACTGAGGTGGCATACAAGCATACGGTCCACCTGATGGTAAGGGGTTACTGTAGCCTATGAACACCTGCAATACCAGAGGTATTACGCGCGCGTTGCCGACCTCGAAGAAACCTCTTTACCCCCCTTTTGAAGAAATTGACATTTATTTACAATAACAACAAGATTTTTTTACATTTAATTTGTTTTTAAAATATTTATCTCCAAGTAGAATATTCGTTAGTGGATACATGTTTTGTAAATTTGATAACAATTGTTTAAACAATTTTAACTTTTGAAAATGGTAGTAAAGCAACCTCTTCCTAAACCCTTGACAACAAATATCAATATATTACTTGTCAGATCGACCTCCACCCGGTTCCTTCTGGAATCCAACATGATAAATAACCACTATAATCTGAATGACCTGATTTTATGTCAATTCGCAAACAGTCGCGGTTTTTAGTAGATGATAATCGAATTATCATTCGATTACATTATCAGTATACGCTGGCTAGGCACCAGTGAGGGGTGATAGGTGAGGACGAAACCAGGTCAGTTAGCTCATAGTGATAGATTCAACCTCCACGCGGTTTCCAGGGGGAACCGCGCGGTGGGCGACCTGACAGGGTATATTGCTAGCAATGGGGACTAATGCCCCGTTACTAACAATATATATATATATTCTTTATTGCACAAAAACATACAGTAACAACAATAAGTTAATAACAATGTTAGCAAAGGCGAACTTATCTCTAAAAGAGATTTCTTCCAGTCAACCTAACGCAGTGGCATAGGAAGTAGTGAGTGGGCAGTAGTAGTGCAAGACAGAAATTTAAATAAATATTTACATAAATTATAAATAATTATATATATACACACATACATTCACATATATACATACATACACATACACATATATATACATATACACATACATATACACACATACATACACACGTTAAATACAACATATAAATATCAGATACAAGAGAACACAATGATGACAGTCTTCTAATCATTTTTATATTTAAATTAAATTGGAAAGATAAAATGATTTTAATCTTTTTTTGAAGGAACTGCTAGACGGGCTATTCTGAATGTTCACGGGAAGTTTATTCCACAGCTGTACAGCACGATATGCAAATGAGTTACCCATAAAATGGGTTTTACAGTTGGGAAGCTTCAGTACCCTGGACTGGTTCAGACAAAGACGTCTAGGTCTGGAAGGAGGAGGTAATAATTGGAACCGGGAACGAAGGTAGGAAGGAGAATTGGGATCATTAAGGATATTATATAGGACCGCTAGGACATGTGTCTCATGACGATGTCTAATTGGGAGCCACTTTAAACGAGTGCGGTATTCCGAGACATGATCATATTTTCGTAAGCTGAAAATAAACCTTATCGCTAAATTTTGCAACCGCTCAAGCTTATTTAGCAGCTCCTCGGTCACATCTAAGAAACAGACATCGGCATAATCCAGAATGGGAAGAAGAATAGATTGTGCAAGCATAATTTTGGTATTGAAAGGGAGAAAGTATAACAATCCCTCTTCCCCCACACAATCGGTGTTACCATTACCATTTCCATCTAAATGTAAGACTTCACTTGTCATTCTGCATTGGTACTATTTACCATCTCATCATAGGGTATGGTAATCGCTTATCATCAGGCGCGCCGTATGCTTGTTTTCCACCTCAGTAGTACAAAAAAAAATCGACAAAAATAAATAAATTAAGAGAGATCACGTACTTGCCAGTCTCCTTTAGAGAGAAGAACATAGGCCCCAACTCAGCGAGCCAGCGTCCGTCCACTGCTGTCACGCAGTGCATGTACTCCTTGGTGGTCATCATCAGCTCGTGGTACACCACGTAGTCGGGGGAGGAGCCGAGGCCGAACAGCGCCGACGTGGGGTGCAAGTGGCAAGGCATGCCCGTACGGCAGTTTACATATTCACCGATGCCTTTGAGACGAGCCGCTTGTTGGAAGTAGGCTGTTAAAATTAAGTTGTGATTTAGGTTACTTTTTTTTATGGGTAACCATATATTGCCGGGGGGAAAGGGATTGTTAGTAATGGAGACTGAGAATCCCATAGCTAGCTATATACCCAACCAGGTCGACCTCCTCGCGGTTCCCCCTGGAAACTATCATGGTTAGTTACTTGTGAATTCATCATGATGGGCTAACTGGCCTGTTTACATTCTCATCTATCACCCTTCACTGGTGCTCCGCCAGCGTAGCCCGTTAGCGCAGGCGGGGTTACCATTCTATTTTCACGCATTAAAAAAAAACATATATTGGCGTGTAAATTTAAGATTGTGTTTCACAAAAAAGGGTCGATTTCAATTTTCTACATAGATAGATAGATACTCTTTATTGTTTCCTCCAAAAGATTACAACAGTAAACTTATTATAAATATAAATAATTACAAGAAATTTTAATGTTTTTATGATTGTATTGCCACTCTGTCAGTACGTAGTGTGATATACATACATACATACGTCAATAGTTTACCCATATTTTTGTCGGACTCTTTCACTATCCAAGCTTCACAACTCTGGAATCTGAAGGTATCCCAAATAAATTCATGTTTAGAAGAAAAATCTATGCTCACCTTATGAACTCATTAAAACAATAGTAGCTAGTCACCATATTTTATATATATGTTTGTATACTATAATTATCATTTTATGTTATTTATGTGTATATTTATTTATTTATTCATTAGTACAAATATGTGTACATGGCGGACTTAATGCTAAAAGCATTCTCTCCCAGTCAACCATAGGCAAGTGTCAGAGTACTCGAATGCGGTACTAGTAATTACTGATACATAACATAACATACAAAAATTACATATATAAACGAATATATACCTACTATTTATTTCATATAGGTATATATTACTAGCTGTTATTTTTTTACCTATTCCTATATTGAAGTTCGTGATTCACTGTTCATCCCAAAGGTTGACTGGTAGAGAATGTTCCAAGCATTAAGTCCGCCTTTTGTACCATATTTCATTTTGGTTAATAAAGTTTACTTAAATATTATTTGAAAAAAGATAATATGTAACTGGTTAAAGGAACAGAATTTTTATGACATAAAAGGTTTCCTTGGGAGACGTTTTTGACATTTGGTATTAACAAAAACATTTATGTTTTACAATGATTGATAATAAGAAACTGTATTTGCATGCTATATGACTTTAGCAAGACATGTGCACTCTTAAATATAATTATAACATCACATGTGTTGCGCTAATAAATATATATTATTATTATTATAAATAAATAATTTATTTACCTGAGCAGATGCACTTGCGTACAGTGTCCCACTGCGTGCCGCACGACACGAGCGGCAGTCGCTGCTGTTGCATGATGTCGCGCAACTGTTGCCGCACCTCGCGGACCTTCCGCATCGCCTTACCGTGCACGAAGTGCTCTGTACACCACTGGCTTGAGTATCTACAATATTAATTTTAGTTAATTTTTTCATAATATTTAGAATGGCAACATTGACAAGTTGATAAACGTGCATGGTGTTAGTTGATCATGCACTGGCTTTTAAATGACAATTTCATTTTAGACATATTACATTTAAATAAATATAAATATGATTCATTGAGATTTAAAAGAGTAACTGTTTTTTTTTTTAGGATGGGTGAAAATGGTATGGTAACCCCGCTTACGCTAATGGGATACGTTGGCGGAGCACCAGTGAAGGGTGATAGATGAGAATGAAAACAGGCCAGTTAGCCCATCATGATGAATTCATTAGGAACTAACCATGATAGTTTCCAGGGGGAACCGCGAGGAGGTCGACCTGGTTGAGTATATTGCTAGCAATGGGATTATCAGTCTCCATTACTAACAATCCCTTTCCCCCATAACTGTTAAGTTACTCGCAGTTTCTTTTAAGTACATTTTTGTTTATACTAATATTGTCACAAACAAACATACGGCCCGTCTGATTGTAAATGGGGTTAGCGTAACCTATAGACGCCTGTAACATCAGTGATGTCACCAGGGTTTACCTACCCTTAAGAAATCTTAATACGTTCTATTTTAAGAACCTCATGCTGTAGTCCCTAGGGAACGCTTCAGCAGAAATATCATTCCATAATCTGAGCGTTTGCGGGAGGAAGCTGATCTAAAATTGTACTGTGCGCGGTCATTCTGGTTTTAAGGGGTTTTTTTGATGGGTAAAAATGGTATGGTAACCCCGCCTACGCTAACGGGATACGCTGGCGGAGCACCAGTGAAGGGTGATAGATGAGAATGAAAACAGGCCAGTTAGCCCATCATGATGAATTAATTCATCAGGAATTAACCATGATAGTTTCCAGGGGGAACCGCGAGGAGGTCGTCCTGGTTGGGTATATTGCTAGCAATAGGATTCTCAGTATCCATTACTAACAATCCCTTTCCCCCCGGTTTTAAGGGGTTGAGAATGGATTTTCTGCCGATGGCGAGCGGCACTATGGTGAAAGGTAACAACATTCTGAACCCAGCATTAGAACCATAACAGATGACGATTTAAAGGATGAAATTTTAGAATAAAGATTATTTTGATTTTAAATTTGATGGACTATGGGGGTATCCATTAATTACGTGAGCTCTTTTTCGATCAGTTTAGACTCGCCCCCCCCCCCTACCCCCCTAGGTGATCTAGTAAACAGTGGTCATTTATAGACATGAAAAGCATTATAAAAATTCACAGAATATACTGTGATAATAAAAAAAGGGAGGCCTATGTTCAAAGGTGGATAGTAAACAGCTGATAGCAATGGTGATGGAAAAAAGGAAATCTATTACAAATACTTATTTAAATTTAATACTTTTTTTTATACTACTTAGAATGGCAAACAAGCTGACGGCCCACCTGATGAAAAGTGGTAACCGTCGCCTATAGACATGAGCAGTACTATGGACATAACAGAGTATACTGTTCCACCCATGATACCCCCCATTCCTGAGGACTCAGGTGTTATTCCTCTGTACCTAGTAAATTCACGCCATATCCTACCCTTCAAACCGAAATACAGCCATGCAAACACAACTGCTTCACGGTTGAAACACGAATGGGACAGAGGTACCCAAGCAATCGACTTTTGTACAAAGTCTCCCTCTGGAAACTAATGTCTAGAAACCCTTACATCTTGATATTCATTCAAATATTGTCGTATGTGAACCAGAAATAAACTATAATGCCAAATATTGACACATTTATGATTATACATTTATACATCGATATAAGAGACAACTCATACTAACTTGTTGGACTTCCATTGGTTATACAAATGCAGCAGTGTGAGGTGGTCCGACTCAGGCACTTGGAACTTCTCCTTGACCGAGTCCGCCTCCTCCTCCCGACCTTGGGGGCGGTAGAACACAGATGGTACCGACAGCATCGACACTGCAAACATTTTTCGATAAATATTAATATTTATTTATAAATACACTCAATGTGCTTGCTTAACAACTTGAACATATTAAAACTTAAGATCAGACCAGAAAAATAAAATACATTTTTTATTATTTATTATTTAACTCTTTATTGCACCATAATAAAAAAATATACAACGACAAGTGAATAATTCAAGTGAAATACAGTAACATTAATACAGATTGAAATATACACATAAAGGTAGAAAAGGCGGTCTTATCGCTAGGGCAATCTCTTACAGACAACCTTTGGTACCAACTTCTTCCTGTTCTTATCCCAACATGTTTTCTTTCCTCTTCCATTTATCTCTGTTTGCAATAACTTTGATATTAACTTACCTTCATAGATATTTGCTTCCATACCTCCTCATAGGTCCTCATTTCTCTATAGGTCCTCTCTTACCCTTATATGATTCATACATCCACTTTCATACTTTTCTAAGAACACTATTTTCATTTATATAACATGCTTATACCAACACAGTTACTTCTTTATTTTTCTGTCTTAGACACTATTTTCATACTCTTGAAAGTCCAAACATAGCCCTCTCTCGGGGGAAGGGATTGTTAGTTATAGGGTCTAATTGACCTATTGCTAGCAATACACCCTATCAGGTCGACTTCTATGCGGTTCCTACTAGAAATCATCGTGGTTAATTCTAGTAGAATTCGTCACGATGGGCTAACTGGCTTGCTTTCATCGTCTCCTATCATCCCTCACTGGTGCTCCGCCAGCGTATACCGATAGCGCAGACGGGGTTAGCATTCCAATATCACCCGTTAACATAGTCCTTTCTGGGGGGAAAGGGATTATTAGTAAAGGAGACTAAGAATCCCATTGCTAGCAATATACCTAACCAGGTCGACCTCCACGCGGTTCCCCTGGGAAACTATCATGGTTAATTCCTGATAAATTCATCATGATGGGCTAACAGCCCTGTTTTTGTTTTCATCGATCACCCTTCACTAATGCCCCGCCAGTGTATACCGATAGCGCGGGCGGGGTTAATATTCCATTATCACCCATTTACATAGCTCTGTCCATAAATCGTTAAGCTACTTGGAATTCCTGCATACGATTACCATTAAATGGTTAATGAGGATTTTTCTAGAGAATAGATGGAACACTTACCAATGATGAGCACTTCAGCACTGCACCCCATCTCGGCGGAGACGATGAGCATGTGACACTGGGGCGGGTCGAGTGGGAACTCCGCCATCTGCCGACCAAGCGGGGTGAGGGCACCCGTGCCGTCCAGCGCGCCTAAGATCCACAGCTGGTACATCGAGTTCAGGATGGTATCCTGGATGAAAAGGAGTTTTATTGTCACTACCTTTTACACATACCGAGTAGTTTTAGGGTAGTGGTAAACAACGCTAAATGAAAAATGTTAACTTTTTTATTTTATGGAACTTAGAATGGCAAATAAACTGACGGCCCCCCTGATGGAAAGCGGTAACCGTTACCTATACACATGAGCCATAGCAGTACCATGGACAGAACACAGTATACTGTTTCGTCCATAATACCTCCCCATGCGTTGCCATTCTTGAGGACTTAGGTGTTATTTCTCTGTACCCTGTAAATTCACTGCCATATCTCATCCTTCAAACCGAAACACAGCCATGTAAACACAACTGTTTCACGACAAACACGAATGGGACAGAGGTATCCAAGCAAACGACTTTTGTACAATGTTTCCCAAAACTGTCATTTATAAACTTAAACTAGATTTTTAAAGCCAAAAATAACAGAAGAAGCATATTGTCCAGGCATACGTTTGTATGTACAGACCTGAGGAGGTGGGTCCATGAAGTGAAATGCTAGCAGGTCTTCCACGCCTAGAGACTTTAGGAGAAGCACAGTGTTGGCCAGGTTGGTGCGCTGTATCTCTGGTACTGTGGATGCTAATAGTTCATGCTGGTATTGCCTCTGCGTGTAGAGGCAGAAGGCCTTGCCTGGTCCCGTCCGTCCAGCTCGCCCTGCGCGTTGTCTAGCATTCGCTTGACTTACTGGATATATCTGTCATGTAGAATAATAGCTGTATTTAGTAGTTTGGTCCTTTACATGGTAACACTATGTTACTTCTTCTCAACTCCAAGATATCGTAAGACTTAAGGTTACAAACGCAGTACATCCCTTTATACGAAGCACCTGCCCAGCGTGTTCGGGTAAGGGTGTACGGGATCGCGGAGGAGGGGCGAAGGCAGCGAAGGGTAGTTGCCCCCTGCCCCGGAAATTGTATGATTTACAACATTATGCTTATTTATTTTACTACTGACTTAAATACAGAATCTCCTGCGGGTGTTTCCCCTCCACACTAGATATACTTTATATTATGTTTAGGTATCTTCATGTAGTGTGTATGAAAAATAATACCCGGGGGATCTAGCCTACAAAATTGTGACTGCCTCCACCCCTGGACCAAATATTGGGTACGTCCATGATAGTAGGCTATATTCTTCGCTAATTGCGAGAAATTTGTGCCTATCAGCAGGACGGTATTGATTTTTACTTTGATTTTTAAATGGCAAGCGTGTTCACAAGCTTGTTGATTGAATTGTTGCTTGTTGGTTGAATTCAAATCCTGTTTACCTGCAGAGCGTCCATGCCGATCCTTGGGTTGTAAACCTTTAGTTTACAGTAACCACAGTCGATCACGTACATTATTCCGTCGACAGTTAACGATGTCTCTGAAAATTAGAAGGAGATATTGTATAAAAGCTGTTTGCATCGATAATACTGTCGTATTTATTTTTATATAAATACTTAAATATAGGCTTATCTTGATATTTAACGTCTAAGATGTTTTGAAGTGTCATAAAAAATACAATACCAGCAATATTGGTTGCGACGATGCACTTTCTTTGACCGGGCGGCGCACGCTGGAAGATCTTCGCTTGTAAATCAGCTGGTAACTGCGAGTATATGGGCAGGACCGTGAGTGGCGGAGCGCTGTCCAGGTCTCCCAGTCTTTCTGTTAGCACCTGAGATAATGGAACAGTTCAATTACCACCAGAAAGAGGTTTTGTAAAATGTTAACATTATATATGGAGTCCTTTAAAACGTTACGATAGGGTTGGAATAAACGCGTTTACGTAACTGTTTTTAAAAAATTAGGGAATTATAACTTCCATGTTGGCAACCCTTTTTCTCGACTGTATTCTATGTCATTTTTATTTTATTTTCGTTGTCAATATTGGTCAGTGTTGTGATTTTTAGATTAAAATGGTAACGTGGCTGTTACGTAACGTTTAGGGATTAGAGAAAAATGTTACGGCGCGTCACAGTGTGAGGAAGGGTCAAAAATCTTCTATATATGCGTCACGTAATACTTGAACATTCCCCCAATACAGTAATAAGATACATCCTATTTATATTAAAAGAAAAGAGACACGCCCAGTGTTGCATTAATGGTGTACAGTTAATTAAAATAAACATTATTAGTGTCCTAGTAGTAAAATAATAAATAGTGCCGACCCCAAATAAATGGGAAAAGGCAAGCCAATAATGATTAGTAGTGGAACAACAATATTACCTCGCACGTGACCTCAATGTCTTCTTGTCCCGGCATGAATATTAAAATATCGCCTTCGTCTGGCTGCAAATGAATCTGAAGAGCCTGTGAAATATATTGCAAAGATCAATAAATAAAAAAGAAAAACAATGTTGACAATGTTAAAACATAAATCTTAAAGCGAGTTTTAAAAATTATGTATTGGCATGGCTTTGTAGAGTACGGAGGACTTGGACACATGTTTAAACAAATAAATGATTTATTATTTTTAGTAAATCCAAGAGGGGGTAAATATTGCTCACTGTCATGTTGAATTCTAATATATTCAACGAATTCTGTGTATGTGGAGTGATCCATTCTGCCAAAAGCGTTCTAGTGAACAATTACCTACGGATAGTCAGAGAGGAATGGAAAATATTTACTCAAACTTCTTTATAGAAGCATAATTATTGAGATTTACACGATACCGCGTATACTGTTTCAGTCAGGAGATGCAATGCTCATAATTATAATCAATGGAAAGACTGTATAGAAGCACAGAAACACTACTGGTACCGTTTAAATGATCTATCATCGCTTCAAAATCAATTAATAATGGGGAAATTTTATTCGGTGTTAATTACAATAACTATAGGGATATTTGTGGTATCTATAAGATGTAATAGGACATCATTATCATGATGTTCTAATAAAAATAAGTCCTTATTGATAGTCATTGTTAATAGCTACGTTGACATTGTAATGAAACATACAAACTGCAAATTGTAGATAAAGCGACACTATAAACAAGTTGTTGTGTTTAAAATGGTCCATAAATGGTTGACGATAGTAAAGGCACAGATTATGATAATAGTTACGACGTAGGTAAAAGCCTTCGTCACGTAAACAGCACGGGACCTAAAATGCGTCCTTGAGGAAACACAATATATCAGCAACTATTGAACGTTATAAACTTAAACGTTTTGGTTTTAAAAGGAAAATGTTTATTATATAAAATTACTCTAACATTGGCCAGCCAAAGAGTTAAATAAAATTAGTTTCTTATTGCAGTTTTTTGTGACGAGCAATGTCGAATGCTTTGTTAAAAACATTTTTTTGTTGCTGAAATTATTTTCGAATTAGATTCTCAACAAGCAATTTAAAAAGAGTTGCCTAAGAGTCTTTATTATTGAGTTATTGTTATTGTTAACCTTGAATAGGCTATAATAAGAGATTAAAAATATCTCTACATTTTTTTTATATCCGTTTATGAGGTCTAATGGTAATCTGGTCACGCATTAGATTATATCTTGGGCATAGATTTTCTATGTTAACATGGTACATCGCTCCAACTTTTTACCTCAATGTGTGTGAACATATACAGGCGTAGTGCTCTGTTTGTGTTTGTGAGGAAACGTCTTCAGTAGCGATCAGGCCAAAGGAGTATGTACTCCTTGGTCGAAACCTTGTAAATAATTTTACTCACACATTTTTAATTCTTTGGATTTTGGAGCTACATGGTATTATTTGATATTTGGTGTTATCATAGACAATCTACACAATCCTGACTCCAAATTGTCATTAAGACTATCCAATGCGCGTACAAAAATGATGATCAACACATGGGTGTATTGACTCCAACTTGATTGATTACAACTTGGTACAAACAAACAGGTTCATTGCCACTGAACCTCAACGCTACAAAGTGTTTTTACTCGGTAAAATAAATCATCGTTGTAATCGCTTTTTATAAAACATCACTGTCGCATGGAGGTTACAAACATTATGCTCAATTAATTATTAATTAAATATTAATAGATCAATATAAATTAATGTTAATCGCTAGGATCTCCAAGCGGTGACAGCTGTTAGGTAATAGGCTATAATCATATAATATTATTATTTAATACTATTACAATATTATGTAACGGAATTGTGGAACTTCGAGCGTAAAATTGTGTTTTCCACTGTTTTCCTTGAGATAACGCAGCGGAGAGAGCCTTAGTTTACATAGTTGGTGGATTATTACGCGGCTTCATAATATCGAAGTCATACTATAATCTAAAGAAATCTTTCCTATCAGTTGCCCAATTAATATGTCCAGATGTGAAAGGCATTGTCATTTTTTACACTGTGGCATTATTGATTCTTGCCTTCTAGCATTATAATAACTGTGATCTTCTTTTTAGAAACAGAAATTTTGAAAAGATAGGTCCTTATATATAGGGATACATTATTTAAATTTTGGCAATTATTGCTGCTCCGTGTGGTCCCGGCATAGAATGGGCCACCTCTTTCTTTCCTGTAGATGATGTAAGTGGCGAATACAGGAACAAAATGGTCGAGGGATAAGCCCCAGTGTTCATGTGATGTTTATCACTAAAGCTTAATTGCGGTGACTAACCCGTCTGCCAATCGTGACCACTACTGGCAAAGCCCCCTTGGCCTAGTCTATGTTCAACTATGGACAATTAACGACTGATAGATGATGATGATGAATCAAAATATCCCGGTTACGCGAATGAAGTGGCGGCCACAGCTTGTATATAGGCCAGTAAGAGGGACAAAGTCACGGGTAAAGCTAGTGTATAGTATAGGAGTAGATTGTGAGGCCCGTCCGGGGTCAATGCTTGAATAGTTGGTGCAATTAAATTAGCGTGGAGTGTGAACATACAGACACGCCTACATTGTAATTCAAATAAGTCTTGTTGCTAATGGAAGTAATGTAAATTAACATTGTGTTGAATAAATAGATCCGATTTTTATATTAATGTAATATTATATAAATGTAAAATATACAGATATCTCGAAAATGTGGAAAAAAAAATTATGAGTAATTTTGTTCTGCAGAAAAAAAAAACGACTAATTCCCACAAAACATAAACAACGAACGACGATATTCGTGCGTGCGTGTATATATATATATATATATATTTGAATTTAGAATACAGAATTGTATATATATATGTACGTGTTTATGTATTTTTTGTGGCTTTTTTATGCGATTTTAATGCGATAAGGTTTACTTCGTTGTTAGTTCCATATAGCGTTATTATAGAAATCGACGGCGCCATTTTTATTTGTGAACATAAATGTGCCCATAAATAATGAACTAATTTGTCAGAAAAATTAGTGATACTCATACATTTAAACAAAGTTTTACATGCATCACATTTCTGCATGCACCTATCATTTGTGCAACGGACTGTGCTCAGAGGAATTGTTCATTATGATGCCCACGGCTACATTCTACCATCGTACAGTTCGTATTTGATAGGGAGTTCACTCTTATACCTTAGAGCCTGGATGGTCGAGTACAGCTCGGTTTCAGAGATGTTACCTCCCACGAACATTTAGGTTAAGGAATTAGCTTCCTGACGAAATTTTAGTAAAAGACTACAGCATGGAGCATTTTTACCCCTTGTAAAAATGTTTCTTAAGGTCGGCAACGTGGGCGTAATGCCCCTGGTATTGCAGGCCTACATAGGTAGTAACCTATCAAGCAGTTACCGTAGCAACTGCTTATCATCAGTGCGCCGTATGCTTGTTTGCTACCTCGGTGATATAAAAAAAAAAAAATACGAACTTAACATGTAACAAGTTTAAAAAAAATTGATTAACAAGAATCTATTAATAAAACCACTTGACAAACCTCAGCTCAATAGATCATGTTTAAGATATCGATACGTACTGGTAATTGAGTTAGTTACGAAACGAAATCCGCGCATTCTTGTATTGAGAATACAGCTGTATACAGTTGCCTTGTAATCGATTATTAATATATCAACTGAATCGATTATTTAGATATGAAGAATTATGAAATTTATATAGATCATAAATAAACTAATATCGACCAATATTATTGTTAGAATTCTTATTAATAAGTACTTTCGTTGTTTTTTGGTATCTTAACCGTTCAAATAATGGTAATGGATTTTAGCACAAGTACACGTAGTTCAATCAATCAACATACATATATAATCAACATAATTATTTAATTTACATTTTTTTTTTAAATCTATGTACCGCCATTTACTGTTGACTGGTACAGAATGCCATCAGGCAAAAAGTCCGCCCTGTAGACATATTGTAATGTGTGCAAAAGTATAAATAAATAAATAAAAAAGAAATATAGTCCCGGATAAAAACGAATTGATTATATCAAAAACTAGTTAAAATAAATCATTCTAATCATCTATCAATCATTTAAATCGACCAACAATAAATAAAATAAACAAAACTATTCAGGTATTGAAAATCAGTTTTTTAAATTGTAATAAATTCACATTAATATATAAAACGTAACTAAATCGTCTATATAATTAACGATTATATATTAATAATCGATTATATCAGATCGATCAAACAATCGATTATTTGTTTATTTATTGCATCAGTCGAACAACCGATTAATAATCGATATTCAATGTATTATTAGGCAACACTAGCTGTAAGGCGGTCGAGCCCCGGGGTCGTTGACACCGGACCGGCTTGCAGACTGCAAGACTATGCAATCGAGACGGCATCACGGCGATTATTCGTTTACTGTTATGTTCATCGATATAATTATGATAAAATAGCTGCAAGAATAAAAATAGAACAACGAAATAATGTCGGATGAAACAGCTAGAGTGTTTCAATAGACCATAATGATAATTGAAGATTAAAGATAAAAGAAAAACCAGTATGTACCAGTTGTACAAAAGTCGTTTGCTTGGGTACCTCTGTCCCATTCGTGTTTCTATCCTGAAGCAGTTGTTTGCATAGCTGTGTTTCGGTTTGAAAGGTGGGATATGGCAGTGAATTTACTGAGACAGAGGAATAACACCTTAGTCCACAGGAATGGCAACGCATGGTGGGTTTCATGGGCGAAACAGTATACTTTGTTATGTCCATGGTACTGCTCATGTCTATAGGCGACGGTTACCACTTTCCGTCAGGTGGATCGTCAGCTTGTTTGCCATTCTAAGTTGCACCAAAATAAAAAAAAATTATGGAGTCTAACTGACCCATAACCAGCAATACACCCTATCAGGTCGACCTCCACGTGGTTCCCCCATCTGGTTAATTCTAGTGGAATTCGTCACGATGGGCCAATTGACCTGCTTTCATCGTCACCTATCATTCCTCATTGGTGCCCCGCCAGCGTATACCGATAGCGCAGGGGGGGGTTATCATTCATTACAAAAGTCCATTGATGTTTAAAAACCTAAGATGTACAGTTAGAGACTTTTGAAAATAGAGCGCATTCAATCAAATTATGCACCCATTTCTAACCAGCCAGTGACGTTTTTAATCAATTAGCTAAGCGTGTCCAACAGTTTTGTAATAATCTAACACGGATTTTGTTACGGTTATTAGCTGATGAATGACAATGTATTTGAGACCACGAAGCATGACCCTTGTCCAGCGAATACTTCTTTTTTCAAAGTTATATCTTTGAAAAAAAAAAAGAATTAATTCGAGACAGTTTTAAGTGTAACTTTTAATTCAGAATATTAATCTAGGATTTCCTCTACATCAATGTTCTTTAACCCCTCTTACTTTATAAGCCTAACGAATTATGTTAAATAAATATAGACTATTCAATTAATTTTATGATTATATAAAATGGTCGCAGCTCAATCATTTATAATGTGGCACATTATGACTAATTATATAAGACGGCTATAAACGAAAAAAAAAACGACATTTTGTTTCGCAAAAAGCGATTTCAATCATGACATAACATACTGATGAATGACGAGATATTTCGTAGACACATTAGATTCAAAGTATTTGAATTTGGAATGGGGAATTGCGTATCTACAAACATTGGAACAAGCAAGATTTTGCTTTATACACAAATGTTTTTATGTTGATAAGTGTCTTTTAAAAGTTCGCCTTCGCTAACATTGTTATTAACTTGTTGTTATTACTGTATGTATTAGTGCAATAAATAATATATATAAATTTGAATGGACTGTAACAATTATATTTGAATGCGATAGGGTTTATTCCGAAATGCCCTCGAGGATCTGATTTGTTGGTTGTAGCTGCCGTTTTTCTTTGCGGAGCAAAAAACTGTTGCGAAACAAAAACTAGACAATAAGGTGCAACTTTATACATAATACTAGATGTCCTGAACAACGTTGATTTTACTTCTACTGGGTGTATTTTTTCTTAACACGATAAATATTATACAACCTCGTCAAGTTGGAGAAAACGATATAGATTTACCATATTTGGTTTACCATTAAAATTGGTTGAGCTGTTTTGGACATTAGCGTGAACGAAGATAAAGGATTTTTATACAATTATAATTTAGTAAAATTTTATTATACAAAATAGTAGAGGTAAAGCCTTTAGTATGTGGACTCTAGCAGCCACAAGGGGGCCTCATCACTCAATTAGAGTATTAACAATGTATACTGTAATGCTTGACAGGAAGGTAATTGCAGCAGCGTTTGAAACAAGTTTTTGTTACCAATTTGCAATTGCGTCAATAATTTGCAGTTTCCTACAATCAATTCCGTACTATTGTTACTGTTAATATTATTTTTAACAATTTACTTTATATCGACGGTATTACTGAACATAGGTCTTGGAGGTTTTGCTAATAGTTGCTATGCTTGGCTGGTTGGTTGGACACTGCAGTTAGGCTTTATTGATGTTTTAAGAGCGACGCTGCAGCTCATCTCTCGACCATTAAGTTCTCTTTGTCCTTGCTTCTTTAGCCTCTGACGGATAAGGATGTGGGACCACACGGCATAGTTCTACCTAACTTCACGCTTAATACCTTGTGGGGTTCTTAGGACAATTTTTTTGTCTTCGTTTTCGTTGTCTTTGTTTAATTTTGTCAATATACTTTTTCATTTTTGGTATATAAGCTACGGCATTTTAAAATTCTGTCCAAAAGAATATAGTACCAAGCATCTATCAAGAAGTTTCCATTTATGATGAGCTTTGTATTTTTTCACAACTTGAAACAAATAATACTAGCAATGATTTTGTTAATTAAAATTCACTTCACATATAGTTTGTACTTACTTGTTTGACAGCACCATCGACGTAGTCTTCGCAAACATTCTTGGCGAAGAATGTCTCGACGGGGAACGTCCGCCCTGGGATCGTGAAGGTGGGCACGTTCCCGAAGAATGTGGAGAACTTGCTGGAGTCCATGGTAGCTGATGTGACAATCAGCTTCAAGTCCGACCGACGGGCCACCACCTGGAAGGAATAAAGAGGTTTTAGTTTTGGAAAGCAAAATTTTTACGAAAGGCAGTATAATTGCTAACTCTTCTAGAGATAAGTTCACCTTTGGCCATCATCATCATGTTTTTTGGCAATAAATGTTTCTATTCTATTCTATTCATCGTCATTAAATCAACCGTTAATTATGCATTGCTAAAAACCACCATGCTGACGTGCGGGTTGGTAAACACAGTTAGGCTTTGGTGATGTTTTAAGAGGTACGTTGCTGCCCATCTATCTATCATTAAGTCATCAGCTTTGCGATTATTGTCTTTAATCATCTCATCTTAGGCATTATCTGTTCATTGCTACATATAGGCCTCCCCTGTAGACTGCCATAAAGAACGGCCCCTAGCCACCTGCATCCACAGACTCCCATTGTCTCTAATGACTTGACTTAACATTGCTAGCTATAGGGTTGTTAGTTTTAATTAATATATGAGTAAACTTTATATTTTGTCTTATTTGTACTCTACGTTTTTGGCCATTGTAACTATTAAATGGATATGCAAAAATAAAGCTGCGAAATAAATTTGTCAGTTGCTATTTGTATGTACTCCATTTCGTTTGTTTGGACGTGAGCCATACGTATTATATATTAAATTTCATTCAATCTGCTTAGCTGTTTACGTGTGATTGTGTAAGAAACAGACAAGCATTTAACATGTTTACAAACTTTCAGACACTAGCTGTATTCAGCGGTTTCGCTCGCGTGAATTACTGCATAAAATATCCTATGTGCCACGTTAGGCTATAACCTACCCATGTACTAAATTCATGAAAATCTCTTTAGTAGATTTTAACGAAAGAGCCCCATCCATGCGTCTTTACAAACTTTCGCATTTATAACATTAATAGGATAATAGGATAAGTACAATCATGAAATGATTTTTTAATTGGATGAAGTGTATGCTAAACTCTTTATGTGTGACAGCAGTTTATTTTTAAAACGTTTTCTTATAAGACTTGTTTATTCCTTATATTATTACTCCGAGTGTATTACATAACTATTAGAATAAATAGAACGGACACTCCCGTGAATTCAACAACTACGTTGGCGCGTTGACAGCTCGTGTCCAACTAGTGTCCCATTAAATCAGGGCTTGCATGCGACAGACACCGCGGTGAGAGTGTGCGTTGCGTCATATCGTTTACGATAATCATTTAATATCGTTTTTAATCATTTGCTATTTATTTATATATCATGAAAGTGGCAAGTAAGCGTACAGTCTGATGGTAAACAGTCATTGTAACTTATGGACGCCTGCTACACAAGCATTTAGGTTCAAACATGTCAGGACGAATTCCCTGTCGAAGGCGAATGGTGCTATGATTAAATGCGAAATTTGTGACAACCCTTCAAAGGAAGGAAGAAAGACAGAATGAATATTTTGTTGGTACTACTGCCTTCACAAAGTCACAAGTGTCACTTCCACCCAGCTTATTTCATTTTATGCTACAACGATATATATTGAATAGACACGATTCTACAATAATAGCTGTGGTAAACGATTTACCTATCGCCATACAATTTCGCGATTCAGTGAGCGCTAATTATTCACTTACACCTGCTGTATCGTTGGCACATTTCTGAGCTATTTATGCGCATATAGCGAACAAAGGGCGATCGCAAAAAATCATTTAAATATATACAGAAATAAGAAAAATCGTTTTTAAGTAAACTTTGGACGGTTTCCAATATAAGATTTTTTATAACAAAACCTTGTACTTGGTGTTGTGTCATTCTTTTCATAAAAAAAGGCCTAAAGTATATATATATATATATATATATATATATATATATATATATATATATATATATATATATATATATATATATATATATATATATATATATATATATATATATATAAGGAGGTTAAGTAGTTTAGTTTTTTAAATCAAAACAAATTTCGCCATAATTGAAGTCGGTTTTTCACGTACAGTGCAGTTTCAGATGAGCTTCCTTCCGCAAACGCTCAGGTTGTGGAATGATCTTCCTGCTGAGGTTTTGCCTAGAGACTACGGCATAGAGTTGTTCAAAAAGAGCGTAATAATGTTTCTTAAGAGTCAGCAAAGCGCGCGTGATATCCCTGGTGCTACAGGCGGAGGGAGACTTTGTACAAAAGTCGATTGCTTGGGCACCTCTGTTCCATTTGTGTTTCAATCGTGAAGCAGTTGTGTTTGCATGGCTGCGTTTCGGTTTGAAGGGTGGGATATGGCGTGAATTTACTGGGTACAGAGGAATAACACCTGAGTCGTCAGGAATGGCAACGCATGGGGGGTATCATGGGCGAAACAGTATACTCTGTTATGTCCATGGTACCGCTCATGTCTATAGGCGACGGTTACCACTTTCCATCAGGTGGACCGTCAGCTTGTTTGCCATTCTAAGTTGTATAAAAAAAATCCTATAAAGTGCCCAACGTGCCTACAGTTTTCACTTCTAAAATTTAAAACAAACAGCGACCTTCTTCTTTTGGAATCTGTAGCTGCTTAAAAAGGGGCATGCAAAAACACTTTATAAATAGTATCTCGTACGTATATGTGTAGGTATACGTACGTAAGTTTTGCGCGAAATGTAAGCAGTGACGTCTACTTGATCACGAGTTCCGAGTCAGGATGTTGGTGCCTGCCAGGCGTTACATTTCACGCCGCTAATGACTCACTGTTCATGTTAATCAAACTCGCTAGCGTCCATTTATATTAACTGACTGTGAGTAGACACTTTAGACAAACAAGCGGTTTATCTATGTGTAATGTATGTCCAGAGATATCGAAATAAAAATGCAAGATTACTGTTACATGTTTACTGGTCGGTTACAGACTAAATGACATTTTATTTCTTAGTTACCTTCAATAGTGTAACTTGATACCCTCAAATACTACACTATGACATAATTGTCATCTTATTTTTTAATGGGTGATGATGGATTGGTAACCCCGCTTGCGGTATCGGTATAAGCTGGCGGGGCACCAGTGAGGGATGATAGGTGATGAAGCAGGTTAGCCCATCGTGACAAATTCAACTAGAATTAACCACGATGGTTTCCAAGCGGAACAGCGTAGAGGTCGACCTGATTCAGCTTTACCTGCTTTATCTACTCGTATTTTACGAAAAAATAATTGTATTCCTTAATAGTTTTGAACAAAAGATCAAATAAAATGCATATTTAGAACGAATATTGTTGGCAAAACGCCGTGTTGTCGATATGTTAATTTGCTGATAAAACAATGTCATAGTGAACGACGGTGACGTCACTCGTGCCATTGATATAAGAAAAAAAAAACAAATCCACATTATAAGTTACTTTACTTACAAAAATACTTTACTTACAAGCCTCAACAAAATAAAAAAAAAAAACAAATACATATTTCTTTTTTTAATTTTTGGGTTTTGGTGAACTACAAACGTGACGACTTTAGTGAAAATGGTGATTTCTTTTTAATTTATGGGCTTTAGTGGACAATTGTAGCCATTTTTTATTGAGTGGCTTTAAAGTAAATACACATAATTGAAGATTGTGTCCCAAAAAAAATATACTTCTTTCTAATCTAATCGTGACAAAACCTATTACTATTATATTGGTTTAAAAATTAAATTACTGAGCAAATTTTAATAAAATTTCTATTGGAACAATCTGTAAGTCCTTTTAAATAAAAAAAAAAAAAATCAAAATCGATTTATAACTGATGGAGTTATATTGTTTTTTTTTTTTTAATTTTAGATTCATTTTATAATACGATGTCTATTGATATGTAAAACAACAGAATTAGAGAGCCTTTCCTTTGAAGTAAATTGAAAATGAACTATATTTTATAGCGTTTTAAAAATATCATGTTATGTATATATTTGTAATACAAAAATATTTTTGATTTAGCGTAACGTTATACGAATATCCGTACGTATTAAAAATAGATGGTGACACATCACATATTTGTTAGCCAAGCCCTCGGTCACGTGAGCTTAAAACTATACTGATCAATAACGGTTCATGTTTCATACAATTATTACCAGAGGGAGACTTTGTACAAAAGTCGATTGCTTGGGTACCTCCGTCCCATTCGTGTTTCAACCGTGAAGCAGCTGTGTTTGCATGGCTGCTTTCGGCTTGAAGGGTGGGATATGGCGTGAATTTACTGGGTACGGAGGAATAACACCTGAGTCCTTAGGAATAGCAACGCATGGGGGGTATCATGGGCAAAACAGTATACTCTGTTATGTTCATGGTACTGCTCATGTCTATAGACAGTTACCACTTTCCATCAGGTGGGCCGTCAGCTTCTTTGCCATTCTGTTGTATAAAAAAAAAGCTTTTACCCGCGACTATGTATGCATGACCGGGATATGTTTACTGACTGAAAGTAGCCTACATCCTTCTCCATTCCATATAGTAAGTGAATACCAAATTTCGTAATGATTGATTAAGCCGTTAAGGTGATATGAGGTGATAAACAAACAAACTCACTTTCAATTTTTATAACATTAGTAAGGATTATCTATCACTGAATTCCGATGCGTTGTTTGTTTCATTCTTATTTTTATATGTAACCAACAATGGTAAATAAGCTGAGGACATCACAGATAATAAATTGGACAGCATATTTGAATATACGGTACCATACAAGGACATCAAACGATTTTATCGTTACGATATCTATAAAAAAATAAGAAAAAGGAGAGCAAAATATATATAACTGTATGGAAATGCATTTAATTTTCTGCGTCGATAACGTAAACGCACTAGGCATTCAATTTCACATGCAATAAAATAAAATCAGACGATATCATGCCATGCTATGCTAAATTATAAATGGACATCACTACAAAATGTAACACCTTATTAGCAATATTTCTATCAAAAAAATATTTAAAAAAAGAATTTAACAAATAAAGCTATATTCGTCTTTAGCCACATAGAAAGGAATATAGAGGAATGCCGTCAGAATCTTGAGAATGCGTTGGAAGACAGTGA